TACATAGACCACAAGCTGATTCCTGAAAATTTCGGACATGCACAGCATGAGGGGAGAAAAGCACCAAACAAATCCTAATCTGTATCCAATAGGTTGATCAATAAGTTGAATCATGATGTTAATACACTGTAGCCCAGAAATGTTTTATTTTGCTGTTCAATATTGTATATACTGCCTAGTTTATTAATTGCTAATGTGTTGCCCGGAAATTAATTTTTTTATACTATGGTACCCGTTTTATGTCATGCATTCAACCTTCAAGCAATCACATTGCAATCGTCAATACTAGGAGCCAAATGCTTTGATTTAGTATAAATTCTGCACAGAGATGTACAGTCATTGGGGACTACAGTAGAATCACAATAGCGCATTTTTTTAAAGTGAGAACAATAAGTTAAGCAACAGTATTGTACTAAACTTGGAAAAGAAAGAACAGTCACTGGTGATGGGAATTTGTTTGCACTTGGCTCCTGTTATCTCTTCCAAAGCCTTAATGCTTGTGATGTACTAATGCTTTAAATTCATTTCAATAGCAAAAAAATGCAATAGCAGTCACATAGACTAGACCTCAATTGTTACTGAGATTCCAATTCGTACCCCCACACCCCTCTTCCCATTGGTAAAATTAGCCCGTGAACAATGTGTGAACAAAACAGAAGTTTCAGTTGCTTGTGTAACTTGTACATTAAAAATAAAATGAAGAAATGTTATATTGCCTCCTTGTGGTGGTATGAGTGGAAAAAGAGTAGATAGCAAAACCATTGCTTTACTGTACTGTGTTGACAAGAGGAATTAGGGGCCTAATTGATAGTAGAAACATACTAAAATTGGGACATCTGCAACTTTCCTCTGCCTTTGGGACTCAGCAAACAGAGGTATTTAAGCGTGATCTAAGTGAGGGTCATGATCTCAAGTCTGCAGAGTCCTGCAACTATAATAGATTTTATTGAGAAGTCTGCATCAGCATACTTCATTTCTAACTGCACCAATGAAACAAGATAGTATACTTCATCTCCACCGAGACTGGGCAGCTGCTTTGGCAAAGGATCAGGGAAGTGAATTGATAGCACACCAGCTCAATATGCGGTTCCTTTGTGAATATGAAGCACAATTCTGATGATAACACCAATATGTGAAAGAGGCTTCTAAGGTGGAATCTAGGAACTGTTGGGTTGGGGAAGGGGTGGGGGGATGGGGCAAAAGATACAACCTGATTCAGAAATTCTCAGACTGTAGTACAATGTGCAGCAATCATAGAAGTGTGTCGGTGCTTTTAAAGCAACATTCAGCTGCTTATACCATTTGGAGTTGCAGTCGATAGATCCATGATAATGCTGGTGAACTGAACATGGGCTTAGACAGTGAATCTATTTAGATATTGATCAAAATTATAAAAATAAGTGCAACCCGGTTCATGAACCAAACCTGTAGCAGCTTACCGCACCAGAGAAGGATCAAGCGGATGCTGGGAATTTCAGATTGTTTCTCACTGTCCAGAACATAAAAAAGACTTAATGAGAACAAGTTCTTTCATCTCTGAAGCTTGAATTCATAATCCAGAAAGACTGAAGAGTTGAAGGTCCCTCTGTACATTATTGATTGTAAGCAGAGCCGATTAGAATCCCAAAGGCAGAAACATTTATGATCAGATCCTCTTTTTTCAAACTGACTCAACTGTATAAAAGGCAAAAATAACAAGCAGATAGCTGAATGCAACTAAACAAAGGGTAAAACTATATCTGGAACATGTGGGAGGGGAGAAGAAAGTTCGAGTATACTAAATTTGATACTTTGCTAATGACAAAATCTTGAAAGAACACAAATTCGGATAAGAAGTTTCAGTTCCAATGAATTTTATTAGCCAGCACAAACTAAGCTATTTATTCAGCAGTCGCTGCCTGTCAGATTAGGAGTTTGTTGGGCTAAACAGAGATACATAGAAATAGACAAAAAAAAATGAAAAAAACACAGAAGAAGGCCATTTGATTGGCAGTTCACTTTTCTGGGGATAATAATTCCTTCAAAATAAATAAAAATAATTTGGTCACTTCAATCCACAACTGTTTGTGGGACACTGTTGTACGCACTTGGCTACCGCGTTTCGCCCACAAAATATCCAATCAATTCACTTTACAATATATTCTGTGAAGTGCTTTGAGATAGCTCAAAAGCTTGATAAGGTGCTATGTCAAATGCAAGGATTATTATTATTATTCAGCCCATTTTGTCTGTGCAGGCTCTTTTAACGAGCAATTGTTTCAGTCCCCTTTACCTACCCTTTCCCCGTACATATTTAACACAGCAGAAAAGTAAAGAATCCCAAAGTTACGTTATAATTAGTACAGTATTTATTAAGAGTACTTCCATTTACTTCCATTCACAGTGTGTTCTGTGAAGCGCTTTGGGACGTCCACCTGACGTGAAAAGCGTTATATCAAATGCAAGGATTATTATTATTATTATTATTATTATTATTATTATTATTATTATTATTATTATTTATGTGTTTAGCTTGGGTGTGTACAATTCCCAGGCCACTTATCTGTCACCTTCAGATGAGGGCTGAGTGAATGACCTGGTTCCAGGTCTCTGCTGATACCACTTTAAGTTAGTCAAAAAGAAATATAAGAGAGTGCCTGTCCACCTGTGAAATCATGTCTCACTGATAAAAGACTTATGGTATAACTGAAGCCGATATCGTATTATAGGGATCGATGTAAATAAAGGGTGTACAAGTTAAAAATCTCAAAAGCACATTGATATTAAAGAGATGAGACAACACTGAAATCCTTCTGTTCAAATGGACCCTAATTGGAATTTCCTACATGTCTAATCCCTTCCTTCTTGTGCGTATCTGAAATTTGCAGGAATCCAACCTCTGCCTTTGAATCAACAGCATAAATTGATTCTGTGCTCTTTTGATATTTTCTGCAACTCTTATATAATGTTTGAAACAGAATACTGGTTAACAGACCTTATGCTTTTCAGTTAACATTTAATTCCGATGTAGAACTGCTTCTTAATGGGTTCTTATAATTTAAAATGAACATTAACACTGGAAACTCGATATTGAAAATAAATCTCTGGGTAGAAATCACATACATAATTGGACAATGCCACAAAAGATATACGGCATTCAAATGGGATTACTCCAAGCTATTTAACTTTACCTCTCGTGCTGTAGTAATAAATCAGCCTGATGGCTAGTTTTTTTGTGTGAGGTTACCTGTGGTACAATCTAATTGATGGGAATGTACAACTAGTCGCAAGCAGCAGGCAACCTGAATCTGCCAATGAATTAACCTGGTTCAGGTTACAGTCCTACACACACTGGCTAGAGATTGTTTATGTGAAGATGGATGTGAAAATCGCAACTGAAACTGACTTGGAAATAACAAGGGATCAAAATTGACTAACTTTGCACCTGATGATCGGTCGGGCAGTTGTGTTCAAAATACAGCAAAGAATAATAATTTTTTAAAAATGGCAACACTCGTCCACTCTGCTCCCAAAACTGTGACACAATTGACTTGGCAGCTACAACACTGCAGTTACTTTGTGAATTGCTGTCATCAGTCATCTGATTATTTCCTCGTTTGAAATTATTGCAGCAGGGTATTTTTTCTTCCCCCCCCAAGCAAGCAAAAAGGGAAAGCAAAACTGTGATATGCAAATCACATTTGGTTGAAAAGGATATTGCCTTTAGGTCGAGGAAATTAATCAAGACCCTGTTGCTAACTCCAAACGACCCTGGTTGCTGCTATTATTATTAATATTATCAGTAAGGAACGAAGCGATATGCGATTAGGGGGAAGCACTGATACTACAGCATTGCCTTGGAGCACACACTTGGCTTCAGCAGTGCCAGTAAATCACAAGTTGTTTTAGCCCAGACACGCGCAGTTAGGTTACTGCATCGGTTTCGCCCACAAACATAACACGGTCAATTCACTTAACAGTCTATTCTGTGAAGCGCTTTGAGACGTCGAGAAGACGTGAAAAGCGCGGCCTCAAATGCCAGGATTATTATCATTATTATTATTATTATAATTATCTTCTGTTGCCACGTCCCTTGCCATCTGACCCTTTCCGCAGGACCGCAAGAAAGTTTATAAATGCCTCGCCCCCTAACGCTGTGAGTATCTAGTGTGTGCAAGCAGCCAGGAACCCCAGGCAGTGTGCTGTGGTGTCTGATCTCCACTGGTTGGGTAAGTTGCCTGATACTCACTGTGAGCTGCTCAATTAAAAGTAACAGTGAAAGCCTTGGCTTCTTCTTCTTGTTGTTGTTGTTGTTACACGTGTGTGTTGCTTTAATTCTGTATCCCATACCACCCCCCCCCCCCCCCCCCCCCCCCCACCCCCACCCCCACCTCCATCACAAGATAAATAGATAGATAAATAATAAGCAAATAAAAAAAGAGAGTTTTACCTACTCAATCAACAGGGTACCAAACCCTACATCTTGTGCATCACATCCCTCCTCCTCCTCCTCCTCCTCCTCCTTCTTCTTCCTCTACTTCTTCTACTTCTTCTTCTTCTACTACTTCTTCTTCTTCTTCTTCTTCTTCTTCTTCTTCTTCTTCTTCTCCTTCCATCACCTGACCTCCCCCCCCCCCCCCCCCCACCTCCCCACTAAACAGCAACAACACCAACAAGAGGACACGAGCAAACTTTTCATCTCCAACTGGGAGGCGGTGAGGAGCACTCTGCCTGTCTGGGAGCATCCTGGAAGCTGCTCCAAACTCCCACACCTTCTCCCGGTGGCTGTGGATGGGAGGTCGGGCGGACTGATGTCCAAGTTGAGAGAGAGAGATAGATAGAGAGAGATAGAGAGAGAGAGAGAGAGAGAGTGAGAGATGATTTTGCCAAACCTGAACTCGAGTTGCGCAGAGGATGCAGGAGCGAGTGGTCCATGCGTTGAGGATGGAGCTGAGCACCATCACTCTGCCGGGGAGCTCCACCTGAGCCCCACTGGCCACCTGCTGGTGACTGTGTGCCTGGGCTTCATCGGGGTGATGGGCATCGCCAACAACCTGCTGGTGCTGATGCTCTTCTGCCGTTGCAAAGTCCTGCGTTCGCCCATCAACCTGCTGCTGATGAACATCTCGTTGAGTGACCTGCTGGTGTGTGTCCTGGGTACCCCCTTCAGCTTCGCTGCCAGTCTCCAGGGGCACTGGCTGATCGGGCAAATGGGCTGCGTGTGGTATGGCTTCGTCAACACACTCTTCGGTGAGTTCAAGCGAAGACATCTGTGTCCTTCCAATACTCACCCCCATCCCAGGGACTGCGTCTTCACATTCCTAGATTTCTCCCCCCCGCCCGCCCCCCCGCCCGCCGCCCCGCAAAAATATTTCCATCCGTGTTACTGTTTGTCTCTCAAGCTCCTTGCCCATCCGAGCAAATCGATTCCCTACTTGAGTGAACTTCTTGAGTTCTGCGTAGTTCCCGGGCTGCGTTTTGATATGAAGGAAATATGAAGTGGTGCTGAGGAATTGCAGTGGGGTGGGTGTGGGGGGGGTGTCGGGGGGGTGGGGGGGGGTGAAGGGACATGGGTGATAAGGAGCGGAGTGGCCGCAAGTCAGAAATGGTGATGAAACAGTAACCTCAAGGTGCGCGGGCATTGATTTTGCAGTTTCCCGAACCACATTGGTGCAGCGAGAAGATTCACCCTACTGTCAGTTTCTGAGGAGTGTACAGGTAATCATCAAGTTAAGCATAACTGTCACATTACAGTTGGCCAACTTACTCTCTGTCATACCCGCATAGGTTGTTGAAAGTTGAATCCTGAAGTCCTGATCCTGACATAAGTTGTTCAAAGTTAAATCCCGGTTTCAAACTTGCGTGCTCCCCGGCTATTCAAGCTTTAATCCTGGGGCGGAGTGAGAGGGAGGGGGAAGCAATGAGCAAATGGTGGGCGGTGGTGGGGGCTCCATCAGGCAAGGTTCCTGCATGTGTTGTTCTGTAGCGTAGCAGTTAGAGCACTCGCCTTGCAAGCAGGAGGACCTGGGTTTGACTCCCGGGCAGGGCGAAACTTTAGGTGAGTTTCCTTATTCCACACACGCCTCTGTTTACCAGCGGTAAGTAGGAACCCGCTTGTTAGTCGATTGGAGGATCGCTTTTCTGGGGGTAATTATCCCTCCTAAAACAACAACAGCAACTACAAAATTACATTTGTATAGCGCCTTTCAGGTCTGTAGGACGTACCAAGGCGCTGGACAATCAGTGTTTCAGACCCGAGCTGGGGGTCGGGATCGGGGCAGGAGAGAGGTTGGCTCCCGGGGTCAGGGATCGATGGGCTTTGCGCCGGAGGTGGGAGATGGGGCAGTTAGGGTGGCTGCTATTGGACAGCCAACATCGTCTGCCACAGTGGGCGCGATGGAGGATTCACAAGCTGGAGCAGGGGGAGGCTGAGGGAGGGTCGAGCAGGGATAGGAGGCGGGGAGGGTGGTGAGAGGGAAGGGTTGAATGGGAGTAGTGGAGAGTAGGGGACGGGTATGAGCATTTTTGGGAGAGGAGGCTCGGGTCGGTGGCGGCAGCCAAACTGCGCACATCAAGACTAAGAACGAACGGACGGGGGTGGGTGGTCAGAGTAGAATGGTCAGCCTGCACTGCCATGGGTCATGGGGAAGGAGTGTGATAAAAAATAATAATAATTTGGTCTCTCAATCCACCAATGTTTGTGGGACTATTATTATTATTAATTTCCCATTCCAAAACTGCATTCACCATAGACCGTGGAGAACCCTGAGGATGTGTTTATTTGCTCACGTGACGAGCCCGGGCAATCGTTTTCTGTAATAATTTAAATCAGCCCCCTATAAGTCTACTGAAGAGCAGGTAGGATGACACATCATTAGATGGTATGTTAGCTGGTATGTTTAGCCCCTGTAACAATGGCCATGGATAGTGGAAAATTCAATTGTAAATAAATTGTTAGAATGCTTACCACCGTGGTGAGAAGTTTTACATTCTATTCCGTCAGCTTGATTGGCGAGCCTCAGAAACTAACTTCTGATGAATTATCACTCGCTAAGCACCAAATGGTCTTTTTCGAGTGGCCTTGCTAAAATAGTTGTGCAATATTAATATATTTTAAAAGCACAGCTTGATGCTATGATGGGAGGATGGGTGTTCTGGAAGGATGGGATCAGATGTGCCCAAAATGCCATATTCGTCTGAACAGATCTTATGAGTTATATCAATAGACTGCAGCCTATATGGTTTCACATCAAGAGAGCTGCCAGAGTTTGGACATGAGTTGTCTCTGCAGTGAAGCATCCAACTGGATGCTCAGCAGTTCTTTCCAGCGAATGTTTGATGTGACTTGACTTATTCCTCTTACATTAAGTGGCAGTTCTAGAGTTAAAGGGGCAAGTACATCGTGCCCAATTTCTTTAGATAGTTGCAGAGAGAAATACCTTTTGAAAAGATGTCATGACTATTACCACATTTTTTTTGTAGTCCACATGTACAAATATGTATGAAGCAAAGATAACACAACTTTTCCTGTCATGTTCATGTTTATTCTTGTTAGTTTGTCTCTCTAATTTGATCTCCTACCCTGTGATCACTGACAGTCCGACTCACATGCAGTGCTATCGGGGGTGAGACTTTGCAAACCTCAGTGGAGGTTTGGGAAATGTCACGTCTACAGAGTCTGTGGGAGAAAGGATTCAGCAAGTTGGGAACCTGCAGTGAGCAGCGGGTGGCCATTCTCACGCATTAACATTTTCACGATGTGAATTCTCCAGCTAGGAATTCCATCCATCCCCTTTGGGTATTAAATCTTTAAAAAATGATAAAATAGCATGCTAGATCACTTCAAGAAATGGAATCCTCAGAGTTTGAAATTTAGGGCCAAGTTACTTGTCAGACTTTGTTAACTACCAAAATAGGTTAAAAATGCCTGGGATTTTTTACCCCCATTTACTCCAATTACTTTTATTATTTTCAATTATCAATTGACTCCAATTACCCCCACCCTCCCCTCACTCCTCAGGAATTCTTTCATACTTCTTTCAACTTTTTGACAGCTGTAGCATACCATCCATCCCGAGGGCAATTTGTCTTTAAGGGTGGTGACATTTGATGCTTCCAGAAATGACACTTGCTGGCTCGTACCAAAACCCTGCATAAAGTGACCATGTTAACACTGGAGGATTTCCTATAACTTGCAGCAGGAGAGAAGCAGAGCCAAGAGATCGGTTTCTTTCTGCCAAGGGCTGGTGGTGACCTCTGGACTTGTCTCAGCTCAACAAACCTGGAGTAACCCTTTTTTTTAAAATAAACATTTCCATCGTCTCAAACTCTCCAACTGCACTCAAATGGAATTAGGTCCATCTGTTGTCATTGTTCCTCCACCAAGATATCCATGTTTTATTCCTCTCTCTGGCCCTTTTCACCCTTTAATGGATTGCATTGTACATCTAGTAACTCCCACATTACATTTGTAAATGGATCTTATCCCCAGAAGAACATATTTCAATTACTATTTTTTTAAAGAAAAAATTGGCAATGTATCTCGCCTTTTATTTTTGTGTGCTATAAATGTGTTAGTAATTTAGTTCTGCTTGTCTTTACAGGTATCGTATCACTAATGTCTCTGACAATACTTTCATATGATCGCTACATTACAATTACTGGTACTACAGAAGCTGACATCACTAACTACAACAAAACCATTGTTGGGATAGCTCTGTCTTGGATATACTCTCTGATGTGGACTTTACCCCCTCTGTTTGGATGGAGTAATTATGGTCCAGAGGGCCCCGGAACTACATGTTCTGTGAACTGGCAATCAAAGGAAGTTAGCAGCAAGTCTTACATTATATGTCTCTTCATCTTCTGTCTTCTCATGCCCTTCCTGGTGATAGTCTATTGTTATGGAAAGCTGGTGCTTGCTGTGAGGAAAGTAAGTGATTCCATTATCTGTTAACCATTAATACTTATCCCACTGTCAAGAAAAACATTGTAAAATCTCCTTAAAATAACAAGGAAGCTGAGTTATGTAGTACATTATGGAATTGGGCTTCTTCCACAGTTCCAATAGGTTCTGAACTACAAGATTCCTAAACAAACCTTATACTTTATGTATCTTGTTTTGCTTTGAACAAACATACTGTTATTCTTGTTGAATTGACCATTTCTCTTTTACTGATAGTATAACTGATGCATAAGTAAGAATGAAAATGCCTCAAGGTTTATTTTTAGTTGCAAATCAATAGATTCCAGTAATTAAAAGTGAAATCTATACAACAGTTTATCAGTGAAGTAGAATTACTGTTCAGCAATTTGTGGTTACATTTGACTTCTGTGAATTGGGGATTACCAGGTAACCAATTGGAAATCAGTAATTTTCTTAAATCCATCTCTTGTCCATGTTCATCTTACACCCATGCAATCATCTCTGCTGCCAACACTGCCGCTGATCTAATAGAGTGGATCTTGTAGCTCAGTGGTTAGAGCACTCGCCTCAGAAGTGAGAGACCTGGTTTGATTCCCAGCAGGATGAAATGTTAGGTAAGTTTCCTTACTCCACATGCCTATGTTTACCTAGCAGTAAATGGGAACCTAGTTGTTAGTCGATTGGCAGATCGCTTTTCCAAGGGTACTCACTCATTCGAAAAAAATAATAAATTGGTCACTTCAATCCACAACTGTTTGTGGGACACTGCTATGTGCATTTAGCTGCCGCATTTAACACCCACAAAATACAGTCAATTAATTTTACAGTATATTCTGTGAAGTGCTTTGAAATGTCTCCAAGACATGATAAGGCACTATATCGAATGCAAGGATTATTATTATATATGAATAGGTTTATATAACTTATATTTGGACAGGACATATTTCATGCTACTCATATTGGTATATCAGCTATGACTTGCCTGGTGTAGAGAATGGGCTCAAGGAAGGTGGCTTGCAGCTGCGGTAATGCTAATATTTCAAAATGAACTTAAAGTACCTCCAGGGAAGGTTAAGGAACATTAGATATTCATTACATAATGCTTTTAAATTAAGTAAGCATTACCCAAATGTTCTCTGTTAGCTGTTTGATGCTTGCAGATCATGTTAAATAGGCAGTTACTGTATGGTCAAGGCTGATGGGTCAGGAATATACCATCTGTCATTCAGATGAGATGCTAAATTAATGTCCTGTCCACCTTAAAAATCTGATGCCACTGTTTGAAAAGAGATGCGAGTTTCTCAAAGTGTCTTTGTCAATAATCTGTCATTGGTCATGCATTTCATGAATGTCTGTGGTACCTTGCTGTGTGCAAATTGGCTGCCTTATTTTTCTACAGCAATTACACTTAGCTTCTGAAGCCCTCTGAGACATGTCTGTTTTTTGGAACCATATCAAATCCAAGAATTATGATATTTTCAAAAGTGAGTTGAAAGGTTTATTGCAATTTCTAAACACTTCGCAAATATTGAACTGCCTGTAAAAAGCTTTCAGCTTTCAGTGGTTGGGGGATTAGTCCACCTGAGAACTGCGCATCTTGATAAACTACTGAAAGATACCAATTGTGCCAATTCCTCTGAAACAATTGTATCCTGGGTTTCTGATCAACCACACATCGATTGTGCATTACTGAAACTGAAGACTAATTAACCCACTACAGGCAAGAATGTAATAATGGTGGAGAGAATCAATAGGAGGCAATAGGAGGCAATTAATTTAAAGCTGACGTAGATATTTCCAGTGGTTTGAATGTGTAAATATAATGATCAGTATCGTGGAAAAATGAATCCTCCCGATTTGAATGAGCAGAGCTGGACAAGGGCAATGGAGTCATCATGACCCCCAAGAAGCAAGAAGAGAGCAGCAGACTTGAGAAGGGAAGAAGCAGACAGTGAAACCTGAGGAAGAGTGGGCACAGTGGCACTTGGAGAGGCTGCAGAGGGGAGTGACAAAGGCGATGTTGGGGAAGGAGGTGTACTAACATTACTAACATATAGTGTACCAGAGTTAGCATGAGGATGTAGGTAAGAGAAGGATGAAGGGGAAAAAAATGGAAAAATTAATGAAGGGGGCAGCAGTCAAAGCAGGCAAAGAAAGAGAAACTCGCCAGGTAAAATGCATTTTCCGCAGTGCAATATGTAAAGTGTTAGCAGGATGGATGCTGGAATCGTTGGCTGGAGTGATCTCCCAACAGGGTTCGAAACCTAATCAGTTTTTATGTTTCATTTGGTGCATCTGGAGAAAGCACTGAGTTGCAGATAAGACAAAATAGGAAATGGATGCATTTGCAAACTGGCTGATTTATATTAGCAATTAAATACCAGTTACATTTCTGGGTGGCAATAGGTTGTCCGATTAATTGCCGATCCTGTAAGTATGAACACCAATTAGAAATTCATCCAATTTAGTTCAAAATGAATTCCTGTTAACTCTGTATTTTGTGTTTTTGTCCATTCACAAGATGCAGTTTGCAGTTATAATACACATCATTTTGACATTGCTAATTGGGACAAGAATCAAACGATTACTCATGCAATTTAATGTCCGGTCTATACTTTAATTATTCGGTATGCACACTTAAAAAAAAGCAGCACAAGGGTTGAGCCAAGCAACAGTAAGCAATTCTAACCATCAAGACGACCTTGGGAAAGTGGACATAATTAGCATTGCTTGGGAATAAATGCAAAATCATTTGGCTTCTGCTCGGAAATACTTCCTTGCATTTTTAAGGGACCATATTTTATAAATATTATTTAGTCAGCCCTATAATAACTAACAACATTTGCTAAAAAAAAAGCTCTGCATATACACTGAGCTTGTCACCTTGCAGAGAGAATGACTGAGAACCGGAAACTTTATTGTATTACTTTTGTGGCAGTTTTAAACCGAGCATGTGAGAGAATAGTGGAGCTATGAGCTGTTTTGTCATGCAAGGAGAGATCAGTTTTATAACACATTGAATGAACTGTTAGTAGCAAACAAAATGTCAAAGCGTTTCTAAATTTAAGCTAGATTTGTTCCTTGCTAAAGGATGTTGAAATTATTCCCTTGGTGGTAAAAAGCGACACAGCTGTGTAATAATAATAGTGTCAGCAGGTTGAAAGGTGTGGAGTCAGGATTTTGAACTTTTGCACTCTGAAGTTTCAACAAGGGAATGGTTGGTTATCAAAGTTTAAAATGCATGTTGTTAGCCTGAGAGTAGCTTTCAAGGTTAGATAGTTTGCTTTCTGCTGGTGTCATCAACTTGATAGAACTCAAGACTAAGGTTAAACCCAGTGTGGTTGTTTGATGTCAACAGCAGATAACAATCTGATTGATTTGATCAGTCACTTAATAGAGGTGTACAATTCTTTCTGAGGACTGACAGATGAGAAAATAAAATTGCATGTAATCATATCATCATTGGAGGGTGAATTGATAAAGCTTTTCATTCTATGAAGAACATTTGTGTCAATTTCTCCAAAGATTTTTCAACATAATCAATAAAAATGCTGTACCAACTCCAAAACATTAGGACAGAGGTACACAGAAGGGCATATTTACAGATTGAATAAAGACTATTAATCACATTTTTCAACTGTGCAGTTATTTCAATTTCTTTTGAAATGTAATGTTTCTAAATTGAAGATATGATTGGCCTTGGTAATGCAATGATATTCTTAGACTTGAATCAAGCTTGGAAAGGTGGAATGATGCAGGGTTAGCTAGGCTTGTGCTTAGGTTTACCTAGGTGTCCCACAATATTAAGCGAGAGCAACATTTTAAGAAAAATAAAGCAGTTCATTAAAAGTAAGTACTTAAAAGTTCTTGCTAAGTAACAATTTACTTTCATAAATGACGAATTAATGCAATGCCACCTCTATTAGCTGTTTCACCTTCAGTTGGGTTGTTTAAAAAGGGACATGTAGATACTTGGGAAGGAACTGTAATAAGGTTGGTTATATGTAGAAAAGTAAAATGAGATTGAAAGACCTGCCATGATCTAATTAAGTGATGTAACAGGATTGATGGGCTGAATAGCCTCCTGCAGTTTTTTGACCTGCTGATTCCTGTCCTCTCCATTATGTCAGTGGGTTTCCATGTTTTACCATCAATGATTACGAATGAGCCCATCAAAAAAATGATTCAAAGAACTTCTTGTTAAACATACCGTAAGAAGTTGGTATCAAAGGGATAACAACTTTGATATTTTTATTTAGGTAATTTGTGGATCTCTAGGCCATCCTGTGCCTCTTGAGGGAAGTGCTATGTTCAAGCAGTCAGCATTGGTGTTTGCCACCAGCTATCATGGCTCTTTGGTTCTGAACAATAGCCCTCACCACCAAACTACTCCCAGGAAGTTACTTTTTTTTCTCATGTTTTCTTCCAATAAGAATTAGGGTTTTTGATCCAGTCAGTGCTGCCCCATTGTTCTGGTTACGGTGAAGTTGCAGACAAGGTAGTCTGGATGGTGAATGTTCTTGGATCAGCCATTTGATGATTTGTGCAGACCCAACACCGATCAACACTGCACAGCTGGTTGTGCATTTGAGTGAAAAATCGTAGCAATTCACTGCTAAACATAAATGCAGCATAAAGTTCCCACAGTAGCCCCAAAGGATTCCTACAGCTAACTCACTGCTCAGAGTTCCACTATTGGGATCCACAGGCAAGAAGTTTCTCAAGAGGCAATTCACACTTTTCTGTACAATCTACATATTCTCCCCCTTAGTCTTTTCCCAACAGGCGCCTACTTTAGTCTCCAAATAATCAAACAAGAATTGTCTCCACAGGCATTCTTGACTTTCCTGACAGACTTACGTGTCAAAGGGATAACAGCAGCAGCATGAGAATATTACAGATGAAATACTGTGAGACAAGGGGAAACTCTAAGAGATTTTACACAGATGCTACATCATAATACATTTTCTCTTCCATAGCAAGAGCTTAATTATTTTAAAATGACATCTCAATTGTAGCCCAGACCATTCAAGTTAAACTTGATATGGATCGAGGGTTGGCATTTGGTTCAATCATCCTTGGAGCCAAGTGCCCAGGTGTGTTAAGTCAGGCAGGTTAAGTGCGTTACTTATTTTGACAATATTGAACAAGTTGAGAGTAAACCAAAACCGAATCAGCCTCTAATGTTGACGTGATTCAATGTAGTGAATATTCGGTTCTATCCTTACCCAACATTCGCATTTACCTTTTTCTTGTTGGGATAACGCAAGATCAATCAATCGAGGGAAACCTGGCTAAAATTTTGAACCTATTCAAACCTGTGGGTGAATAAGAAAAGCAGCGAGTAATAAGGTAGACTGGAACTAAACTGACAATTTTATAAATTGAGATGATATTTTGGGACATTGTAAATTTTAACCATTTCAGTCTTTTGCATTTGAGGTAACCTGAAACTTCAAAACAAATGTCAGAAGAGGTGTGGTAGAAATTCTCCATTGGTTAGTAAATTTTCAGAGTTTGGCAGCATATGTTTACAAAGGAATTTGTTTCACACTGTGCAATGCCTTTTCCTTTCTTAATATTATGCCCTACATCTTCCCCTCCACTCCTCTGTAAAAGGTTTTAAATGTTCTTTTCCTCCCACTGGAACATCCTTCCACAGATGCCGATTTCACTTTGATATCTCGTCTGTTTGAGAAAATACTTAAAGCTGTTATTGGAGATTTAGGAAGAGTATAGGGACTTGATTGAGTGGAATGTGTAATGTTCCATTAAACCTGAACAGAACTGCTGTGATTTAATTAGTAAACACACACGGACCCATCCTCAAAATCCACAGACACCTCAAGAGAGCAGCTGCAGGGAACCCTTTCAAATCCTTTATGGACTATTTGTCTTTCATCTTTTCCTAGTTGCCACGTAAATCGTTCATGTATTATTAACATATTGTGTAATAGTAGTACTGCAAAGACTTTGTGTTCAGTGACATTATTTTACGCTCAAGACTTCTAACATTGTTTTTGTTCTTGCTCCCTTCCACTGATCTATTTTAGACATTTGCTGATCAAGTAAACATCTAAAATAAGAAAGTGTTCTTTCCATTCACCAGCGGTATGATTGCTCACATGCTTTTTTAAAAAAAAACGTTAAAAGGTTTACTTTGAATGCCACCTATATTATTGGGGTAAGTGTTGCACAGAGTTAAGAACAATATAATTTCCAGCTGAAATGCTGCATGCACAGAGAAAATTCTGCTTTCAAAATCTGAACTAACGAGTGATGATATAACTTTCCAGGGAATTGTATTGGAGACATTTCATTGAATTGTACCCAAGCGAACATGATGAGAAATGCAAGTCCATGTTCAAGCCAGAGCACGCAGCAAGCCTGACCTTTCACATTCGATATCATCAACTGTCATGATCTACATAATTTAGTTCAACCAGGTCAGAATCCAAGTAGGATGTACATTTTGTGACACATTTAGGAGAACTGAGCATGTTTAATGCTGAAGAGGCCCTTTGCTTCATTCCTTAGGCTCTCAGCTAGAAAACACATTCTGAAACAGGTTGTCATCAATTAGCTGACTATTGATCACTTTGCCCCCTCTTTCTAATAATAGTAATCCTTGCATTTGATATAGCGCCTCATCATGTCTTCCAGACATCTCAAAGAACTTCATAGAATATACAATAAAATGAATTGACTGTTTTATTTTGTGGGCGAAACGCGGCAGCTATTTGCACACAGCAGTGTCCCGCAAACAGTCATGGATTGATTGACCAAATTATTTTTTTTATTATTTATTTGTTTTTTTAAGGGATTGTTACCCCCGGAAAAGCTATCCTTCCAAACGACCCAGAAGTAAACAAAAGGCATGTGGAGCAAGGAAACTTGCCTAATGTTTCACCCTGCCAGGAATCAAACCCAGGTCCTCTCTCTTGGGGTTACCATTCTCACTGTTAAGATTAGGAGCTGATGGGAGTGAACAGGCTGAAGACAAAACACTAGTTCTTTATTGTGACAAGCATTCACAAAGGCTGCTGTCTCAAAGACTCAAAGGTTTAAATAATGTGCTTGTTTAAAAGGTGCAATTGTTCACTTGTATGAGGTGAAATGTCACATGCAGTAAGTTCCATCTTGATAGTGACTATTATTCATGTGTGACCCTCGATAGTGATTCCCGACAGACTATTGAACTTCAGGAGCCACAACAATCAAACCTGATCCTATTCTGTCTCGACATCCACACATACACACCTTCCAGCAGGGCCACTGGATAGTTAGCAGGATTAAGAATTCCTGGCTAATTTTCCTCTAACGCACAGGACCTTCAAGTATAAGTCATTGGAGAACAAGATGAGCACATGTGATATTTTTTCCCACACCCAACCCCCTTCTCAATCAAAGAAACGTTGCCCATTGTAACTCCCCCAACATCACCCAAACCAACTTTTTCTAACATTTTTCCCTACAAATTCAAAACACGAGCCTGTTTTGTAGAGTTGCTAGATGTGTACAAAAGGCACAGTGATTCCTGAAAACAATCACTCAGTTTTATTTGGCAAATGATCTCTCCTTTATTGCTGAAGGCTGAAGATGCTAAAGGTTGCTCAAGTATAGTTACACAGGTATCTTTGCCAAATGGCTATTCTTCACATTCGAGTCTAGACAATATATAAGTATTGCCAGGCTTTTGACTATTTCACAGCCAAGTCCAAACCCGTTGTCGCCCAACAATCGCACACATTAACCAGCAGCGATCAGTAGAGAGTCAACAGTAGCAGGTTCCAGGTTGATTTCCTTCCCCCTTCTTTTGTTGCCCTTGGACATTCATCTAAATAATCCCTAGCTGGGATCAGATAATTTAATAGAGATTAAGCATCAAAACTTTTGGTGTATATATCTTAGTGTTATACGAGGAAATGTTTTAACTCAACAGACAAGTAGAAGAGCTCCAATTTGATTTTAAGTAGAGTTGAGCGATATGGCTCAAGTTGAAAGCTACCATTTGATTTGATTTCAACCAGTGAACTTTAGTTCTTTCCAAAGGCAACGGAGTGGAGCAAAGCACTTGCCATCCCTGGTTTAAACATTGTGAACAGTCAGGCTTAAACGGATACCAGTTAACACTTTGCACCGGTGACAAAGTGCACATTTCTTATAATTAAAACAAAAAGTCTAATTTTCTTCTGCGGTAATATTTTATTTCCCCTTGCAGGTGATGTGATTAAATATGAAATTGAGGCTGAACTTGCAAAGTCACATTAAAATCATTATGTATGTAAAATTTCCACTTAAATTACAAAAAAATATATAGGGCAGTTAATCGGTGTTGACAATTTTACTACCAGAGCAACATTGTGGTTTAAGGATAAAGTGTGCCTTTAGCACTGTTCATTCTGTGCATTATAATATAGGTTTAAGGTAGTAGGAAATGATTACCATTAGGGAACTAAAACATTTAGTTTTAGTTGAGGTTATTTACAATTACATAGAAAACCGCAGCATTGAACAGACCATTCGGCCCAACTAGTCCACACCAGTGTTTATGCTCCACAATAGCCTCCACTTCTCCTTTAATCCCCTGTATTGTTTTCTGCTACATATATGCATCAAATAAAAAAAATGGTCACTTCAGTCTAAGACTGTTTGTGGGACACTGCTGTGTGCAATTGGCTGCCGAGTTTCACCAACAAATTTTCAGTAAATTCACTTTACAGTATATTCTGTGAAGTGCTTTGAGACGTCTAGAAGATGTGAAAAGTGCTATATCAAATGCAAAGATTATTATTGTTATTATTATCAAGCTTCCTCTTGAATAAGTTGATGCTTCCTCCTTCAACTACAGCTTCCAACATTCAGTTCCACATACTCACTACCCTCTATGTAAAGAAGTTCCTCCTAAACTCCTAATGAGACATTTTCGTGGTTGGACCAGGTATTTTACACTGTAAAACAGCAAAGGCAGTATGTTTTTATAATGCATAAAATCTGAACAAAATTGACTATACCAAATGGATCAAAAACATAATCACCTAGTCCATTATATTACTGCAATCTACTGAGATCAATAATTATAAATGTGACTTTTAAGGAAACATTTGTTATTGCTCAATAGCTTTGAAGAAGATCAGGCAGAGAGGATGCACATCAGCCTACTCTTCTCACCCACCAAAGATTAAATAATTGAAATTGTGTATTTATGGTTTTCTGCTAGTTTAGTATCTGTGGAATTGTGCTTATTTCTTGTAGTACTGTATTCTGTCCTCCATTAGAAACCACTTATATTATTGATGCGTTTCTTACAGTGCTCTGCCTTTCACTGCAATTTAGAAGCATTGTTGACGTTTGACAATAATGGCCCAAACCCTTTTGACAGCCGTTATCGTGAGTGATGCTTTAAAAAGCACGTTGAAATTTGATGTACAGTTCACTAGAAAAATAATACTGAAATTTTACTGAAATTACTGCTTCTGGGGCTTTGATATTGTTGCCAACCTAAAAGTGTTACAGGCCAATGCTCTTTTGCATAGGTCAATTGTCTCATCTCCACTTGTTAAAACAGTAAACTGGAATGATTTCGACAACACTTTTGTTGAATGTCTTGAAATAAGAAATGTAAATTACGATGTGGTGAATTTAGAATATTTGGTATCAAGGATTGGTGGGCTGCGTGTACACATTTATATTGATATCTGCGGTCACCATTGAAAATGTGGAAGACACTTCACATATCTGCCTGATACAGTTTAATCCAACTATCTGGGGTGGACCACCACCTCCAACAATATACCTGCCAAGTATTTGCAAAACCCTTCTTCTATTCTTCCGCCTTTTCACTTCCTTCACACACAACTATTATGTCTTTCTTCAGTAAATAACTTTCCCCTGTATTTTGTCTCAATAGGTAAGTGCAAACAATTCCATGGGACGTACGAGGGAGAACAAATTGTTGATCATGGTGACTTTCATGATAATATGCTTCTTGCTTTGCTGGTTGCCTTACGGAATAGTAGCTCTTTTGGCCACTTTTGGAAGTCCTGGTTTGATAACACCAACTGCCAGCATTATCCCATCTGTTCTTGCAAAGACAAGTACTGTCTATAACCCCATTATCTACATATTCATGAACAAACAGGTAAGCCTTAATTTGGAGACTAATGCCTATGCAAACCACTGCAGTAAAATGAGGCTGAATGGAATATCAGCTAGTTATATTTTGTCTCGCTGAATTATAGGAATGAGGATTTATTGGATAAGCTCCAATAATTAAATTAAAAAGACTTTAGTTTATAAGAATTTCATTAATACTATAGGCCTATAGTATAGTTTAACCTTACTAAAGTTTAACAATGTCAGCCACGGAAGGAACTCAGGCGATTCATTTAGGAGCCAAATGGGAAGATTCCTTGCACCCAGTGACCAATCTGCCCATTCAAGGGTTGCTGTTGAACAGGTTGCTGGTCTGTCATCAGCAACAACAAAAACTTGCACTTATATAACTCCCTCCACGCAGGGTAGCATCTCAGAGCATCAGCAGTGTCCTGGATTACTGCAAACCGAACTACCAAGACCACCATAGGGGGTTGACTGGATTCTTGAAATTCTTGAATCTTGAGGGTTGACTTGACATTCCATTGCCAAGTCGGTCATCTCAGAGCCAACCACAAGGAGACACCACTTATCTCCCTCTAAAAGAGGACAGTCACTAGATGGTCAAATGAAGTGTGACTGAGATTTTCACCTGCCTTTAGCATCACGTCTGAACTACGTGGTGTCCAAATTATATTTTTGCTAGTGCCTTGAAGGCCTTAAACTACTTTATTATAAATGGAGATTAAAAATGGTAAGTCCCACACAAGTTTGCTTAAACCAAACTTTTTAAGTTTGAATCGGTTTTAGTATAAACTTGATATCGATTTGGTCCTAAGATGGTTTTGGAACCTGGGCTCAAAAATGTAATAGATGTCCATAAAATCTTGTTTATATAGCATTTATAATATTTATTCAAAGCAAAATTTGTCAAATTGATGCTAAAAGTGCAGTTTAAATGGGACATAAAACAGCCCCTCATACAGTCTATTAACACTCAGAATGAATTGTAACACAGTGATTATGGAGCACAATTAGGGAAGGCAAGCGGCCTTCCGAATCCATGTCACACAAAGTGAATCCATATCCACAGACAAAACTTTTTTTTTAAATGCAGAAGAATCGTATCCTGCATAAGTGAATGAAATGGATTAATGTCAGTATTTCAGAACAATATGGCCACCAGGAGACAGCAGGATTAAATTATCCATCATAAAACCACTGGCTTTCTTGGACATTAAAGCTTCATCTCCTGTTGCCTTTCAGTTCTAGGGAATGAAAGGGAGATATGAAGTATTTGTGTGAACTACTGATTACAACCACAAACAGTGTAATTAAATAGGAGGTAAACGTTTGTATGGATTAATTACTATTTCTCCACTTTTGCATTCCTGGGTTATAACACTCAGACTCATTAATAAAACCAATCTGTTTGAAGATGCTATGCTATCAGCAGAATTGAAATTCCTTTTAAAAGGGGCTGATAATTATCAGCCGCTGAGTAAGCTGTTAATTTCCCAATTGAAAAAATCTTTTCAATTGAAAAAATCTTTTCAATATAGTTTGCCTCTTTGAAATAATTGGAGAATATTCCAGCTGCGGCAAAGTGATAAATACCAAAGAATCAATTTGGATTTAGCTGAAAAAAATACCTTTAGGCAGGGAAGATAGTTTCAGGAAGCTTCTGTCTCTAATATTTTGGGGGCTTCAGTTTTACAAATCCAGAAAGCTTAACTTGGCTCCCATTCCCTTCCACGGTAAAGAACACATTTACAGTAAAACATGACTCCCACCTGATCATTCTCCAAATGTCAAAAAATATATACATTGTGAAACTTCCTCCCTTATTTTATTTCCTGCCTCTGCTATTCTTTTTGACTACCTTTATCAGCACCCATTTTTATCTGTCCGTCTCTCCTCTGTTGGTGGTAGATTTCACTGTCCAATTTCAGTTGCATTTCTTGCGGTTATACTGAACCAACAGGGCATTCATTCACAGTACTACTCGCACTAGAACAACCAGAAATTATTGTCTGCAGATTGTTTTGCAATGAACTAGTGCAAATTTTTTTTTATCTATACTGTGAAAATTCCTCTAACCCTGGACTCACTCCAGCAGAGCTCTGCCAGGACACATTTAAGCACAAACGCTATACTAACTGCTGCCCATCAACCATTAAAGATGAATTAGTCTCACAACAGTTGTCCAACCCTGCTTGCTAGCAGTGAAACTGAAATTGCAAAGCAGAAGTTTACAATGATTGAATGTGAGAATGGTCTTGAAATAACACAAACTGCAGTGTAAGTGCCACAAAAGAGCTTAGGTAAGTCATAGCGTCATTTTGTTCTGTAGACACATGTCTCTTACACATGTTTAGACACATCTAAAGCACATGAGAAAACAAGAACATGAGAAAACAAGAACAGGAGAAAACTATTCAGCCCGAGATTGTTCCACCAGCATTCGACCTCGGAAGCCCAATGCCCAGCCCTTTTACCACACCTCGCAAAACCTTTACTATCTTTAACGTAGGTCATACCACAGACTATTTTTAGGGCCTTCACATTAACACCACATCCCTCAACACCTGGATCACTGCACTGCTGCAGCCAGTGTGCTGTTAAGCAGACGTTCCAAAATAAATCCTACTTTTCGCAAGAATTACCCGTCATTTGTAGCATATTTATTTTATTCCAACCATATTAAACCTTATTCGGTTTAACAACATTATTTAGTACCTCAATAAAAAAAGTATCAAACAAAAAGGTTGAATAACAATCTATTTTTACAGCTGTTTAGGAGCTCGTTTCCCTTTGTGCTTTTTAATAATTCTCATACATGAAAACAGAACACAAATAGTAGATCATTTTGGAATGTTTTAGCTGGGTTTATACAGAATTCACATACATAGTGTGTTTTAGAGCACGGAGGGATGTAACTAAGCGAAAGAGGAATGAAACAAAGCATGTGTTAGTTTGAAAATTAAATAGGATGGACTTTTTATTATTTGTATTGTTTATTACTTGTATTATTTAACTATTTTACTTTTCTCATTTGCCTAATGGAGCTACAATCCACACAGACCTACCCAGTGAGTTAGAAATGTTTGATCAGCGAGGCTATTTACTAAACTTGATTGAATTTAGATGCATTCAATGTTTTAGATACGGTGCATTATTCCTCCTCTTTCTTTTGAATATATTGCAGGTTTTGTTAAGATCTGTCAATATTCCTGATTTGCTGATACGATAATAATCCTTGCATTTAATATAGAGCTTTTCAAGTTGCCGAGGTGTCTCAAATCACTTCACAGGCTTTAACAATTATCTGCAGTAACTGTGTATTTGCAAACGCGGCAGCGTTTAAACATGAAAGCAGAACTGGTCTCATTAGGGAAGTTTTCAGAAACAATCGCATGAAATGAGTAAAACCAAATTCCTTCAGAAGGTGCAAAATATGACCATTCAATTCAAATGTACAATGTTAGCATGTTTGAAGTAACGATGTGGTAATGAAGTAGTTGGGTTAGCTTGCATTTATACACTCTTTTGCTAACCTGTCCCTCACCAGATGTATCAGTACTGTATCTTGCCGAGGATTTGCTTCAACACAGAGCTTGAAGCAGATTTATTACATTTGTGGCCCGTGTTGGCTGTGCACACTTCTATTCTCTGTCTCATAAAGTTACGGATATTGGGGAGATGAACTTCTAATGGGAATAGTCTAACTTTTCAAATAACTAAGAATGACATTTGACTTTTTTTAATGTCTAATTCTTTATTTTATCTGTTCAGTTCTCCAGATGTTTCCGAGCTCTTCTGAGCTGTCAGAATTCACCTGTTGCTTTCAGCACCAGAAATTCTTCGAAGACTTTAAGAGATGGTCACAATACACAGAAGACCCATAAGAACTTCACCTGTATTGAAGCTTCAGTAGCTCAACAAACCACAGCTCAACAAAACCGATCCTCTAGCGATCAAGAAGACACAGGCAAAGTATTATTCTGTGAAGAGTCAAAGCCCCCAGTATTGTTAGTGGCATATTATAATGGCTGACCACTCTGCTTCAGCATGAGTTGCTGGAGCATCCTAAGTATGTTAGCCAATTCTTGAAATAATTGTTATTGAGTTCAGTTCAGTGCAAATATAGTCATAGCCAGTTATTGATATTGGCTTCAATGTCCACTTTAACCCACAAAATATAGCCCCTTTAGAAATCACAATTTTTCACAGGCAAACTAAATGATTATATATGAACGTAGAAATACAGTGAAACTCAAGTCACTCCTTTGATACAAAACCAGTCAAATTCATGGACTTTCTTCCACTATTCTATGTCCTGCAAAGTATTTTGTAGATGCTCCTAGAACCAATAAGGTAATTAATCAAAAAGTCCAGAACTCAGTATTCATCCATACTTGCATCTCCACTGTTTCAACTATACCACAGATAGTACGGTCCTCAACACCATAGAAATCATCTTGTCCTATGAAGTACATGTTCATTTTCATTTCCGTTTGTCCCTGTATCCTTCAATTGTGGCTTCAAACAGATATTTATTTAAATATATTTATGCATTATTTTCAAAAAGGCAGATGACCCACAGAGTATCAAGTATACTCTTTTTTCCTAGATTTTGTTAAATCTTCAATCACTTACTTCAAAATATTACACCTGAGTTTCTCTTCAAGTCTAAAAAGCTGATTTTTGTTCCATCTTTTTCACTTTAACTATAAATCTATTGCTAACTTCATATCAAAGTTAACAGGGAATTCAATTCAGAAGTCAGCTAAACAAGAGTTAAGTAATCAGCTCATTAACACCTGAATGTTTGATAGGACACTGGACAAAAAATGGGTGAAGCTTGTAGAAACATTAACTCTGATCCTTGTCTGACACTTCCTTGTTCTCTCCAACCTATTTCTATTCATCACAATATTTGTTATTGGAAGGTACAGTATAGCGACAGTCTCATAAATTCTGGGCTATGCTTATATATGAAATCTAATAAGAGCTGCCTCATTTGTCTTACTCTTCTTTATTTGTATTGTTAAAATCAATAAAGTCTTATCAAAGAAGAAAAGAAACAGTCTATTAGTCTTTCAGCTCTGGGAAATCTTTCAAACCCACAAAATGCAGACACCAGTGTGATTTCAGCAATTTATTACAGTCAAATTCTGGTGACTTCTATTATGTCTTCATTTGGCATAATTTGTTTGCAGTGACTTTATCTAAATAATACTCTTGGTCAAACAATTTGAGCATCGATTCCTCATTAAAGCTAATGTGAGTATTGGAACTATATGTTATTCAAACTTCATCACCATGTCCTTTTTTATCAACTCTCACATCAGCCTCTTCTCAGCAGATATCTCCCTGTTACCTGCACATTTTATCAAGCATTGCTCAGCAATTTACGCTTTTACTTACACACACAAAGCACACTGGTGAGAGCACACCAGAAAGAATAGAAAATTAAATCTGTAATAAGACATTTTGATCCAAGGTATCAGTGCACAGGTTTAAACACAATATATTCAATCAGAAAACTCAGGAGGGATTTAGACAGACAGGGCCTTTCTAACATCAAATTGTCCACTTTAAAGGAATCTTCAATTGGTTGGGAAGGTATTTCAGTTGTTTAGCACTAGAAGAAACAGTCAGACACATCCGTGAGCAACACACGTGATCTTGTTCCAAAGCATAATAATAATGCTTGCATTTGATATAGCGCCTTATTAAAATTAGAGAAGGTAGAATGTTAGACTAAATTAATACTTGAGAATAAGCACCCAAGCTAAGAAGACAGATCACATAAGTTGGAACATTTACACTGAAGAGATGGTTGCTTAAGGACCACATTTTTACTTCATAGTTGTTTGTAGGACATTGGCGTATGCAAATTGACTGCTGCCTTCACTTAAAAAAATACATGGCCTCTATACACTACAGTAAGTCCTTGGAACCACTTTGAAATGTCCTCCCCATATGAAAAGAGTCCATCAAATGAAAGGATTATAATAAGTCTTTTCTAGTCGGCCACATTCACATTTTCTAGTAACTTTAATGGGTTATTTCCCTCAATGAATTATAATTGTTTGCTTACGATCTAAATATTGTTTTTCTGTGGTTTGGATTTACTCTATTGTTGGAATACTTCAACTCTCCTTGCCTTACTTTTGATCAAGAGTGCTACACTGTACACGCGATACATTTCTAAATTGACCCAATTGTGCACTCTCTCAGAGATGCCTGGCAGCTGTCTTAACAGCAGGCTGCACAAATTTACTGATCGACAGAGCTTGACATTGACAACATATCACAGTCAAAGACAATTTTGGCCAAATGAAAGGTACAGCTAGTTGTCTGCTAGGAAGTGAGAAGCAAACGTGAAGGAAATTGATCTAAATAATAATGCAATTCTTATCTAGACAAACCTAATGGCTACCTTTAATTTCTACATATGAATTGCGTCATTGGGACCAGCTAGTCAACTTCTCAGTTCAGGGTAGTGTTCTAATGTAAAGTATTGATGCCACTGCTGTTTATTCTGACACCTGCTTTGATTTAAGCGCTCTGAGATGCCATCCGGCGTGGAGGGCGCTATATAAATCCAAGTTGTTGTTGTTGTAATATACACTTCCTCCGTGTATTCCCTCCTCTGCAGCAATCCCAGTTTCTAAGTGAACTGTTATCAAACTAGCATTCATCCCACTCTCTAACTGGCTGCCAGTAAGTGTTCAGAAGCAGCAAATTGACTATCCCATCAAATGCTCAAGTGTACATCAGAGGTGTTATGGAATAAATCATTCAGAGCATCTAAAAATGAAGATCCCATGACGAATAGCAAGTGAAGTCTGCAACTGCATTTGCAGAACCTCAGACACAGATCCACCCTGAGCCCAAATCACCACAGTGGTATAAATCCATCAAGATGTTATTCTACATGAAAATTGTCATGAGCATGACTTAAGGAGAAATGAAGGAATACTTAAACCATTCTAAATCTTCGGGATTAGTCTCAGTCAGAAAGTGTGATGCGCTGTGAAGAATGGATTTCTAATATACAATCTAATACATCATTATCATCATTATTATTATTATTATTATCAAAAACACTGTCTGGATGTTTTATTAAGTTGTACCGCTTTCCTTCATCAATGCATAGTCAGAACACAAACATGTCACGAAGGCTCAAAAAAAAATACAGTTTGTATTGTGCTATTCCACACCAAGTGTGTGTGATTTCCAATCATCTGCAACAATTTGCATTATAAGATCTGCAAATGAACATTTATTGAAAATCACTGCAGCACAAACTAACCCCAGCATGAACAAGGAGTCCAGTGGCCATTCTAAAATAAGATCCCCATATCAAATCCAATATACATTTAATTTATATTCAAAGAGATAACACTAGCAACAGGAGTCCTCACTATCAATTCATTGACTCTAAGAAAAGATAAAATTTTCACAAACTAAGGGCCCAAAGAATTTTTTTTATATAAATCTTGCTAGAAATTGTACGAAAAAACATAGATTTTTAGATTCTGATACTGAACCTATCAATCTATGTTGTGATAATTCCTGTGGGGAAAGGGGCAGAGGAAATACATCTATTATCATTTGTAACCTCAGCATTATTTTGCCACGTTCTCAACCAGGAATTCCTGGCAAAAGGATATTTGCAAAAAAGAATAAAGACCAAGAACAATGGAATGGTTTGTTCCAATTTAGACACTATACAGAATATTTATGTCAAACCAGAGGGCATGAAAAGGCTTCAAAGTTAAGCAAAGTGAATTGTAAACAAACGAGCCTGAAATCATTGATGTATGAACCAATATTAAGGAGTGAAAATGGCTTCCCATAGGGAAATAGAATCCAAAAGCAAGATTGAAACATCTGGTCTAACTGCCCTACGGGCATTTGTGGTTCCATACAACGGTTAGCACAAATGCTTGCAGACAGCTGAGACTGAAGATGTAAAATTCAATTTACAGCTGCAAGAACTGTTTGGGATGAAACGTATGGAGCATTATTGAAAAGGAGGAAGATAAATAATAATAATAATCCTTGCATTTGATATAGCACCTTATCACATCTTCGAGATGTCTTAAAGCCCCTCACAGAATATACGGTGAAGTGAATTGACTGTATATTTTATGGGCGAAAAGATACTTTCTAGATATATATTAAGTATAAAAGCAAATGGTTGTGAGGCATTCAATGTTGTGAAAACCTCATCTGATCCAAAATCAATAAGGTCATTTGGTTCTGTCAATGTAGGAGGATGAAAGGTTGACGTGTGAGTCTTACATGGAAGCTCGAAGCAAGTGGGGCCAGCGTTCATAGCATTAGTAGAAAAAAAATCATACTTGACGGATTGATTATAACAGTTCAACAGTGGGAAAAGCAGCCAATATCTATGTCTTCCCAGAAAAAAAATTATTGAGATCCTTCTTGAAGCGCAGACAGACAGACAAACAGACAGATTGTCGTTTTATTAGTATAATTATAAATAACATCACCTACAGAAAATATCTAACTAATTAAACACATTTTTTCAGCAAGGTGAAACCTAAGGAATAGTCTTCCAATTGCAGTAGTATGATGAATTATTAACTTGTGTAAAAACCTGATTAATTTTACACTGTCAGGCAATCCCTGAGTGGTAAAGTTTCAGAAGGCTCAAGCTCACCCTTCGCCCTGAGAGGGATAGAATAGATGAAGTTGAGGCAAGAAAGGTTGCAAACTAAATATAAGCTATTTTCCTTTCTTATTTCAGGCTTGGATGTTTCATAAAATGATTGATTTGTACTGATTCATTCCCATTACAGATTGAAGTCGCTTCTTAAAGGAATCTAGTGTCCTGGCTTCAACCATTCTTTCTGATAATCCATCACTGATTTCCTTCGGTGTTAGTCCTTAAATCACCATTCACAAGTGCGAACCTATGTGCAAACGATCTGTTTCCTGGCTTATGTGAATGCATTGCACTGGATTTACTTTCCCTATTCCATTAAGCATCTTATATACTTCGATAAGGAAGGTAGCTTGGTACAATAATAATAATCCTTATAATTGATATAATGCCTTATTACATAAGTGCTTCGTGGAATATACTGTAAAGAGAATTGAGTGTATGTTGTGTGGCAAAATATACTAAGTTGCAACCCAATATCCCAGAAAAAAACTCTGCACATATTATCTTTCACTGGAATGTTTCTCAGCAACACGTACGCAATAAATAGGCCAATGTGGGAATGAGTCAGTTGAACACTTGGGGAGGGTTGTGTCATTATTTGACAGAGCTGAGTCAACTTGATTGGAACCTGTGAAAATAATTTTCACAATAAACCACATTTAATCTGTCAAGAGCCTCAATGAGGATTTGAATGGCGACCTTCAGATTTACTCACTGGACTTCCACTATCGTTGCGGATTCGTCACTAGTTTAATTAGTGATGCATTCTTTCGAGCCCTTACATTTAAATTATCTTAAACACCTCTGTTATGTCATTCCTCAACCTTCTCAGTTCCAATGGAAAGTGTCCTATTCTGCCTCATAAAAATAATTATTTTTGCATTTGATATAGCATGATTGACTCCTGGAGGAATTCTTAAAAAGCAAGTCAGAATTCACTAGAAGGTATAGCGACTGTATGTTTTACAGCAGGGTTATGGGGTAAGAGTGGGGGAGTGAAACTAGTTTGGATAATTCTTTCAAAAATCTGGCAAAGGTACAATGGGCCGAATGGCCTCCTTATGTGCTGTACAATTTGATGATTCTATAGGTGTATGCAGTAGTCAATCTGCACACAGCAATGTCCTACAATGACCAATTTTTATTTTGTGGGTATGAAGATAAATCATTTCTAAAAAGTCTTTGTAGTCTTTCAAAATATTAATTTGAATACATTATATTGCAGCACTTTGCTTTTTCAACTTGACTTTTGCATTATATAATTAAGGATCAGAGCTCACTTTGATTCAATTTGATAAGAAATACTAAGACTTCTAAAGTCACCCTGAAGAACAAATTTAGCAGTAGAAAATGACTGAAGAAACAGCTTCTTCAAAAACATAATTAGAACGATATCACCTTTCGTGGATCCCTAACTTTCATCTTCCAATGAAAGGCAAGAGTTTAATTTCAAAACTTTAAAAACCTTTCAAAATAAATTAAGTTTGCATCATTCCATCAATTTAACGTGTGATGCTTCATATCCATAAGCTCTCTCATTTTTTCATTTCTCTCATTTTCTAAACATTTCTATATAGCGGATCCCTTTGATTTGGAATTGATGCAGATAACCTTCCAACAAGGAGGTAAGGCCTTTAATGTTGCATTGACCAAAACAAATAGCTCAAAAACAATTTTAAACAGAGAGATTCCAGAGTGCAGAAGGAAAAAAAGCAATAATAATAATCCTTGCATTTGATACAGCGCCTTATCACGACGTTGAGACATTTTTTTAACAAAATTGAGTTTTGCCAACAAAATATACAATCAATTCACTTTACAGTATAGTCTGTGAAGCGCTTTCAGACATCTCAATGATGTGATAAGGTGCTATATCAAATGCAAGTATTATTATTATTGTTATTATTATATCAGCCAGGGATCCTACTAGTGATTGGCATTGGATAACCACTACAATGTGAAGATACCAAATGAGGAAAGGGTTGGGCTTGGTTTCAATGCTCCTGTAGTCAAATGGTCTGGTATCCTTCAGGAGCTCAAGTCTGAATAATGAATAACATTTCACAAGAGAGGTTTCAATGAAACAATCCTGGAATTTTAAATAAATTCCTTGGGTTCTCATACCACGCTAGAACAGGAAAGATTTATTCTTTCAAAGACAATTAAGCTTCTTACATAAATTCTAGGTGCTATTTGAATCTAATCAGACAAGGTCAGTGCATCATTTGTTAATGTTACCCTTGTGTTGGTTAGGAATTACCAGGATCACCAACCGGATATTACACAAGATTGAATTATCTGTGAAGAACAGGAGGTGGCAGAGCATCCAAACCCGAACCAATAGAGAAAAACGATAAGCATATTTGATTTGAAAATATTTTATTTGAAAATTAAACACTACCATTATTCAAAAATTATTGCACATTGCCATTTGCAGCCAGGATATTACATCATTATACCTGCATTTCTTTATCCACACTCCAGCACTGACATATGCCAGATTCGAACATCAAATGCAAGGATTAATAGTTATCATCTTTGCATTTGATACACCTTTTACGTTGGGAGGATGTGTCAAAACACTTCATAGGATATACTGTAATTTATGCAGACAAACAGCTACCTAATGAATGACCAATATTTATCCTGTGAAACACTGCTGATGTGAAAATTGCTGATGTGAAAGGTGCTACATGAAATGTACAGATATTTATTATTCCACTTATTTAAAAAATAGTTGATGATTGAGGCAAAGGTTTCAAGTAAGTTTTCCTTCCATAAAATGTATTATTTTACAGTTATTGACAGTTCTAATGTTTCAAATACATCCCACGCACATGAAAATGGCATTTCCAATGCAAGTGGTGGTGGTGAAACTCCCTCTTTAACCCTTCGAGCACTACAAATGAGTTTCGCCAGCATGCGAGACTCTAACACATGCTGCTATTCTACAATTATTTGCTGAGTTAATTGATATAAATTTTTTTTTAAATTACCAAAGAAATCTTTTCATTAAAAAGTTGCTCCAATCTCAGTAATGGATATTGGGAGTCATGAAAAATAATTTAATTAAACTTTAAAATGAGATAGCACGAGAATAGATATAGTTCAATTAAAATGACTTTAACTTACAATTTAAATACAAGTATCTTATTTATTTTAACATCACCTGACTTTTAAACTCAATGAATACTCATTGGGTTGGGTGGTTACTATAGGTAAGTTTTAAGGCAAGATTTAAAGAAATTTTGAAGAAATTTAAAGAAATTGAGAGGCGGTGAGATGGATGGAGTTTTATGGGTTAGAAGTGCAGAAGCTGAAACCAGCCATGAAAATCAGAATGAATTAAAATCTCGTATTTATAGAACATCTGAATTTCATCCATAGATTCAAGTAACTCAAAAGGGTACTCACTAACACTATAAACTGAAAAACATAATCATATCAAAAATAGATGCAAACCATTGCTAAAATTTAATCAAACAACATTATTCACAAAATGGGTAATCTACCAAAATATATTCACAAGAGAAAAAGTTCAATATAATGCTCGCCTATATTCTGTTCCAAGCCACTATTTCTGAACTATAAACCTTTGAAATTTTAAAATGTTTGACTAATTTTTTTATCCAGTTCATGAGTGGAGCCAATTCTCTACTGAATTGCCTAGAAATTGTGAAATCAGTTTACTAAGTGCCTGCTGCATATTCAAATGAAACCCATTGATGGCACTCCCCATGACTCGTTTGCTTTCAATTCCAACTCCCCCAAAAGCCTCTATTACAGTGGAAATTACAGAGATGGGTCTAATCGATTCAGCACTGAAGCGAATAGCTCTGAAAGTAAGGGAACGTGAAGAGAGAATTTTCAAAAAAAAAAGTTGGCTGCGCTAAAGCACAGTTCAGTAAACATTTGAACAGGTTTGTTAGCTTCAGCTGCCGGGCCGAGCGAGGAAAGAAATTAGCACCTGACTATTCTGCAGCTGAGAAGTGTGGTTATTGCTTGAGGGAAGGATCAAATTTAATGCCCTGATATGTGATGTGACACGTCACTGTGTTTAAAGAGTAGCATATGGGTGACCTAATGGGGAGTGCCTGAAACATTTGGAACCCTAGTTCACTGCAGACGTCAGGCTTTCAGGGAGAAATAAACTGCTTAAAAAAAAACTAACGAAGAGAAATTTTGCCTGGTTAAAAAAATTAAAGTTCAGTAGGGTATCTATCGGGAAATCTATTGTTGCCTACTTTTGGAGACAGTTTTTAAATAAAAGTTCACACTTTTGGCAAGGAAACAATTTTTGGAAAAAAAATGAAATACACGAAATTCATACCCTGTTAGGAGGAGCGGAGGTTCAAAAGCAAAACTGGAGACAAACAGCCTTTAAGCCTTACAATTTTACAAACTCATAATATGGAGGTTTGACAAACCAACGCAGAATGTAATTTATTTCCAAAAATTAGTTAATTAAATTAAATGAGCAATTTCACCAAAATGAAGAAAACCAAATCGATTCACAGTGGGTTTATTCCTGAAGGCTGATTTGGACTTCAAACAGGTAGAAATAAAGAACGTACCATAATGAAACAAACTCAGAAATATTGTAAGTATGCCAGAGTTAGAAGAGAGGAGAAAGACAGATATCACAATGAGCTGATTTTATTAGTTAAATTACAGATCGCATGAAATGCAAGATTATCTCACTTGCTCTAAAGAGTGTAAATTGAATGATGAACGTTCTATGTTTCAAATACTAAAATCCTTTGCAATTAAATATCTAACTACAGCATTGGAACTCTAGACGACACTAAGATTTACTGAGGTAATTACTGTTTAGTTAACGACAGCTTAAAAAAAATCCTATATTCACACACAGTTGACTGGGTTTTTTGCAATGGTCACCTTTTCAACTAAATGGAGAAATTTAAAGCCCTCTTGAATTCTAGAGGTCGATACAACTGAGGATATTTATGTCTTACCATATTCCATATTCTATTTTTATTTTATTCCTCCTTTTTCATTTTATTCCTGGATGCACTACTGTAGCGATAACCATATTCATATTTATTGTCGTGTTTTCGTGGTATAATAGGTTCTATCATTGCTAGAAAAGACAAAACAATTCTTTAAGAGGGGACACCACAAGCACATTTGGTAGAATTACCCATTAATATACTTATGTATATACATGTTGAAGGTCCTTTTACACAACCTGAAACGGTAAACAATAAAACTACTGCCGCAATGTTGCTGAATGTTGCTGAAAAGAAAATGTAATAATTTTCAATTCCCATCGGGTCCAAGCTTCATCTTTGGCTGAAACATTAGCATTAAAAAAATCCTAAAGAACGTATTCCCATTTCATTGGAAATATTCAGATATCTTAATTATTTACTCTTATTTTCTAACATTGTGTACATTGTGTGACAGCATGCCTTCAAACTGCCTGCATGAAGACATTCCCTATCTGGGACAACTTTAGCTGCTATTCGGGACATTATATTAGTTCATAGTTTCCTAGTTTGAAACTGGGTTTGGAAGTCAAATACAGAAAAAGGAACAAAAACAGAAGTCGCTGGGAACACTCAGCAGGTCAGGCAGCATCTATGGAGAAAGGAAAGTGAATCACGTTTCAGGTCCACGACCGTTCATCAGATATTGGGAAGGAGAGGCTTTTAAGGACTAACAGAGAGGAGGAAGGCAGGGCAAGGAAGAGAAAGGAGAAAATGGGGTAGAGGACAGGGGATGATGGGTTAAAGAGGGGTTAACCACTCAGTAGTCAGGCAGCATCTATGAAGAAAGGAAAAGGGACCTTTTTACATTTCACATCTCCTCTGACCCAAGTATGGTAACTTAACTTTGGGGTATGGTTCATTGCTGATTTTAGTTCCTAAAAAGATCTGTTACTTAAAAATAAATTGAAATGAAAATGAACTTGACATTCAGATTATGTTATTATGTTTAGTCCAGTCACAGTGATGAGACTTGTTGTTTATCGTTCATGTGCTAGGACACAGCACTGTTCGAAAACCAGGCAAAGTCACTTTGCCGTACATGTGGATTTCCTCATCTGTGCCATGGTTCATGCGTTTCACCAGATTTTTCTCGAACATTAATGGGTGGTAAGCACCCATTGTACAGGCCTGATCGTGAAACATTTCATAATAATGGCAGCGGTCAGTCTGTCGTTGTGAGGGCAGGAATTCATACACATCAGTTTGATCACAGAGGGTCATCATTAACACAATACCTGCGAAAGAAGCATACATATTTAGGCTATTGGGAATTTCCATGCATCAGAATACAGTTACAGTATTGGTTATGAAATATATTTCGTCCACAAAATATACAGTCAATTCCCTTTACATATATTCTGTGAAGCGCTTTGAGACGTCTCGAAGACGTGATAAGGCGCTATATCAAATCCAAGGATTATTATTATTTAAATTTAGAGTAAACTACTATTTGTCATTTGAAATAGATACTTCACCAGGTTCTCCTACTTAAAGTTAACTTTCTGTTGTTCAAATATCCAATTAAAAACCTTACAAATCTATAAATTAGCAATGTAACCAGCAATTCCTCACATTCTTACTCTGCCGCCCAAGGAATTGATTTCACTAGCTACTGAAGCACATTTAAAAACACTGCTAATGAGTTTTTATAATACATCACTATTTGTCAGTGTCAAATACACTCCATGCAGATCTGAATGGATTGAATCATGCAACTAACATTGAATAGTACTGGCATTTAGAAATGAGATATCAGGGATGTGCTGCAGATTATACCTAAGCAGTATCTCATTATTGACCCCCTTAACTTCTTCGTTAGCTATTTCCCAATTATCAAAATGCTTTATTTGACACTAGATTTAGGTCCATATGAAATTAACTTTCCCTATTCATTCTGCTTTTGCCCCATCGTATAAGATGCTGCAAGACACTCAGGTTGCAAAATTGACCAGCCTTTTCTGATGAGCTTGGCCGCCCACAAGATATACAGTCAATTCGCTTCACAGTATATTCTGTGAAGCGTTTTGAGATGTCGCGAAGACATGATAAGGCGCTGTATCAAATGCAAGGATTATTATTATTATTATCCTGAAAATCCTACAGGTGAGGATTTGGGATGACTCTCTGGATGACTGGAGCCAATGATTGAACTCCATAAATGGCCTAATTGCCAGTGAATGTTGCAATTCAGAATCCAACGTTAATCCTGAGAGTTCTTTAAATTGTTCCAGTGCTTCCGTCACACCGATTGTAAAGTATAAAATAAATCTGTGATGGAATAAGCGGGGTCACTCTATAAACAAAATTAAATTATTAATTAAGAAAACAAACAACACGAGCAAAGACATTGATATTATTTGTGTCTGGTCAGTCTTCACTTACCCATCAACCCAGAGGAGGGAGGATTCGGTTGGATGTTCTCAGCAGTGTTCTCCTGCACAATGTTCCACAGCTTCCACTGTATGCTTGGGTGGAGAATATGGAACGGTTGTTCTGGATTATTTTCACGGTACTTTTTGTAGTCCTCAAAGAAATTATAGTCTGGGTTCTTGAACCACTAGAGAGGGAGGGGGAGAATTTTTCTTTTTTAAATCATAACACAATTATTTTCACATTTCTAGAATCTAGTGAACTAGAGTCCCCTATATGCGACTAACAACTATTTTCCCTCTGTATGTTTTGCTTCAACGGATTGAACAGCAGTTGACTGTAGGTGGTATCATTACTTTTTCACAGCAAAAGGTTGCAGCCACTTCTTTGGAAGCAAGTTCGAGGAAGAAATTAATACGCTTTGGTTCAATCTTGAAATCAGACTCTCCATTTATGAGACAAGCTATGAGAAATGGGGATTGCTTCACATTAATCGTCAAGCAAAGACCAGGTTCTATGTTCGTTACTCTTCATTATGCACCACAGCAGTAAAAGCCAATTACACAAGCAGCAACTGCCAACAACTTGAAATAAATGCTTCAATATTCTCCATTTGCATGGAAGTGTAAGAAAGGAGCTCTAGCTCTGATGAACCAAGGAATGGGAATTTTAATGTCCAAGTAGACACTAAAAGGGTTTATTATTTCTTACTAAAAGTTTATTCCCTTCTTGTCAGTCTGAAAGCACTTTTGAGCTGGAGGAACTTGGCTGTGCTTGAAATGTTGCAATTAAACCACACTCGTCTAAAGTGTGACGTGTCAATTGTGGAGATACAATTTTGATATAACTAATGTACTAGAGTAAAATACTGTTCTTTTATCTTTGAGAACTGGATATCAATGCAGTTGTGGCAAAGTAAAGGGAAACTGAGACTTGCACCGCTTCTATATTCAGCCCAGACAGATATTTCCTCTTGAATTAGTTTGCACTGAATAAATTCAGACAGCTCCAGTAAATTGTAAGGGGTTACAAACGAGCTAAAGTCAGTGAAAAAGATATTAATTGAATGTTAGTGTAGTTGAAAGTAATTAATTATAGGAAGCATTTTGAGACTTTGATGCGATGAGATGCGAGATCAATTATTAAGATGAGGTTAGAAAGCTCTTGTCCGTGCAAGTACTCAGAATCTCTGCTGGGTTGAAGTTAATGTGTTATCACTCAAATAGGGAAGATGTTTCCACTGGTGCGGGAGACCAAAAACAAGGGCCATCAATATAAAATAGTCACAAATAGATTTGGTCATTCGGCCCATCGTGTCTGTGCTGGCTCTTTGAAAAGAGCTATCCAATTCAATCTCATTCCCCCGCTCTCTCCCCATAGCCCTGCAAACTTGTCCTCCCCCAATAATTATCTACTTCTCTCTTAAAAGTTGTTATTGAATTGGCTTCCACCAGCCTTTCAGGCAATGCATTCCAGATCCAAACAAGTCGCTGTGTGAAAAAAATTCTCCTCACCTCACCTCTGTTTCGTTTAACAACTATTTTAAATCGGTGCCCTCGGGTTACTGGCCCACCCGTCAGTGAAAATAGTTTTTCCTTGTTCACCCTATCGAATCCCCTCATCATTTTGAAAACTTCTATTAAGTCTCTTCTTAACCTTCTCTGCTCAAAGGAGAATAATCCTAACTTCTCTAACCTCTCCTGATAACTGAAGTCTCTCATTTCTCTAACCTCTCCTGATAACTGAAGTCTCTCATTCCTCGTACCATCCTGGTTCGAGGATGATGTTATTAAATCATCCTCATATTTATTAAACCCATTTTCCAGCTCTTTCCTCATATCAACGGATGTATTTATTTAGACAAACAGCCGACTTACGTGAGTTTAGTAACAATGAGATAGTGCCATATTAACGACCTTTAATGTCCCCTATCCAAATCCACAGAATACAAAACAAAAGCTATTGAAATTTCTTCCAAAGAGAATAGAGTCCTCTGGGAGTTTGAGTAAAATCATACCTCGGAAAGATTAGCTGCATATGGTGCTGGGTCCCAGGTTAATAAGACTCCGGTTCTGTATAAACTTTTAGCATGAAACTGGTAATCACCTGTTGAAATGACCTGGGAGGAAAAGTTTTGATTTAGCATTTGAAAAATATATATTATTAGTCAATAAGGAAGAGCAAACGTGTCTTATTCCGGGAGTAATAATCCCTCCATAAAATAGTAACAATTTTGTCACTCAATCCACGACTGTTTTGTGGTATGTTTCACCCACAAAACATACAGATGTCTCAAAGGCAGGATGAAGCTCTGTATCAAATGCAAGGATTATTCTTATTCTTATAATGGATAGTGGTCCACAACATCATTACAGTAATAGCTACAGTACAGATCAGATGATGACTTATTTTAACTCTCACTCCTTTGAATGTTTCAGAGTCTATCCCAATCAGTAACTGTTATAATAACAATAACTGGTTTAGCAGAGATTTCTGCTTAGCCATCGACACATTCAACGTTTGCCTCTTTAGGTTAGTTACCTGTGAATTAATTATTCGAATTGTAGTCTTTGTTCCCACATCAAACTCAAATCCGCTGGTAGGTGCTGCATTGAATCTCAGAACAGCATCGTGACCATCTGACAATAAAAGAAAATGGCAAATATATTCTCGGATTTCATTTATCTCAGACCTTTGATCATTGTTTATGGTTCAATTTCGCAGAAAAAAAGCACTGATAAATCCACAGGAGAGATATTCAGGTAAATTTTCAAATAAAGCGGCGGGAAAGAGGCAACTATCATATATTGAAATCAAACAGGAAAAGACTGGCCAGAGAGTTTATGACAAAATCTGGAATCGAATTATTTATCACCTCTACTGTACTGGTTTAGACATCCACACTGATCATATCCTATCACGCTGATAAAATGGAAAGACACTCAATTTCTGAGAGCAGAAATTATCAAAATTTGTTGCTTGAAATTTCCTGGGCCATGGGTGTGAACTTTTCTTAAACTCCAGGAGTGTAGCAATCTGATTTTCAAATTATTATTTTATTCCCCCTTAAGATGTAAGCAAATTGTAGAGGAATTGACAATCGACAGCTGATTGTCCAGTCAACTCTTCTCCAGTAATCAAAAATAACCATTAGTCGAAAAGCAAAGTTCTGGGATCATCCAATGGAGCTTAGTCTTATAATATAATAATAATAATCCTTACATTGTGCCGGAACAGTGCTACACTGTAGCTCAGTGGTTAGAGCACTCGCTTTGCAAGCGAGAGACCTGAGTTCAATTCTAGGCAGAGGGCGAAACCTTGGGCAAGTTTCCTTACTCCACACAGAGCCTAATAATAATCCCTCCAAAACCCAAAACAATAATAAATTGGTCATTTTCAATCTACGACTGTTTGTGGGACATTGCTGTGCGCAATTGGCTGCCGCGTTCGCCCACAAATATACAGTCAATTCACTTTACAGTGTGTTCTGTGAAGCGCTTTGGGACGTCCTCCGACGTGAAAAGCGCTATATCAAATGCAAGGATTATTATTATTATTATTATTATTACACACAGCTTTCAGCAAACTTCGCAGGTTTGTCTTTGCCACAAACTACATTTAATAATTGGAGTCTCAACCTAACACAGGTCTGCTCTACAGCTACAGTTGCCAAAGGACTTCACTTATATGTAACAAATATTCTCATTTTACCTCTTGCAAAATCTCAGGCTTTTTCCGTTTACAACAATTTCAAGGTTCAATGGTAAGAGCCATGAAAGAAAGTACCTGCATTTTAAAGTAATTACCGGAAAGTGTAATAACTTTTTGTGGATAAATTCTGCCCACGGCAATTTCCCCAAATGATTGTGAAGTGAATGACCAATTAATCTGAAACATTGTTGGCCAGGAGATCCCAGCGTAATGGGATCTTTAACATCCAGCTGTATAGACATTTGAGACTGCTATTTAATATCTCAACTACAGGACAATGTGTACACTACTATATATTGATATGTCAGCCTAGAAGTAAGCTAGAAAAAATTCAGAGGCAGAGACATTAACTATTTCAGCATGATAATACTGCACAGCAAAGAAAATAGGAGATAAAATAGCTGCACATCTGTTTGGCTGGGACATTTTCCATAAATTCAGTGAATTACACAAAAAGATTGAAGATTATCCAAGTGCACATAAAGCTCATGTACTGAAAACTTGCATAACCGTCCATTCCCATTGACATTCAATTACACGAAGAGAGAGAACAAAATATATAGGATTTTGCTGGTGTTTGGACACACAGAGTAAATCCACGGAAAGTCTCAAAAAAATGGAGTCCTTCTAGTACAGGTTGCAAAGGCTAATTTACTTATAATCTATTTCTCAGTACCTCAGCCGACAAAAAAACAAGGCCCCACCTCACAACTCATGTACTATCAAAAAGGTTTTCACCGCTCACCAGTGTCCTGTCCTTGCTGTGCAAACAGTCACAACACTTGACAGCAATTAGTTATGAAACACAGATGTTTTGACAATAGAGGTGTAAGCATTATTATAATTTGAGTAGCTTTGAGCTGAAAGTCTCAAACCTTGAAAGTTTGAGGCTTTCAACTTAAACCCTGATGCTATTCTGTTTTGTTGTCAGGGTTTGAATTGAAAGCCTAAACTTCAGTGTGGTACATCAGCTCCCTCTAATGTTTCGATGTGATAACAAATATAACTTTGCAACATGCGACATTGATAAAACAATAAAGAACATTGGTAATAAGTTTTTTTTTCTTCTTTTGAAACATCTCAAACTTCTTCAGAAATAATTGCAGTCAGGCACAGTGACTGCATTTCCAGACAATTGTGAATTGTGAAAGGTTTGATGAACACACATGAGGTGAATGACCAATTTATCAGGTGGATCATTCACTTTTTTTTCCCATCAAAAAAGCCCTTCAAATCCTACCATTGAGCCAGACAATCACCAATTTGCTTTGGTCACAAGTAAAATCTTGTTAGCAATTTTTCAAGATATAGCACGTAATTTTGTAATGTTAGCAGACTGGTGAATCTCAAAGGAAAAGAAAAGAAGCAAAAATGAACAAATTGAACAATTAATAATAATAAAACCACAAGACTCACTTATTTCATTTCCCAGTTTGGAATGGAGGATAGAGGCAGCTGATGACACCACAGCACACGTACGGAATTGCCCAAGTTCTTCCATTAAGGACTTGCTTGGCAGAGATTTCTGCCAGTCAGATGTTGTGAAAGGATCTTCGCCAAACTGAATTGTCTTCACTGGGACTCTTTGTTTCAGTTCACAAATGAGTTCTTCACGGCTGAGCTTTCTGGAGTGTTTTCTCCCGGTGAAATTAACAACGTATTTGTTCATAGCCACGTAATTGTTCTTTACCGTACGCAGGCGCGGAACAAGATTCATCGAAGAGCTGTCTTCATTCCAAATTGAACGTGTGTTCGTGTTTTGATCTGCCTGCAGAACTTTGGCAGGTTTCACTGCTAGTTTGGGATCATTTGGAGATTTCTTTTCAGCCTCTTGCCTTCCATTGGGCAAAGCTTCCTTGATTAGACTTTGATCCTGAATATCTGGTCCAGTTGATAATTTTGTTCCATTAATTTCTCTCAAAACAACTTCACGACTGTGTTCACCTGCATAAATTTCATTATCACCCTCCCAAAAAGGTTGCACCTCAGTATATTCAAAGGTTGACCCATCAACCTTCTTCACATTTCTTCTCAGTGCAGTTTGTATATCATGTTGACTGACACTATCAGGGATTTTTCTTACTTCTGCATAACTGTTTTTGACCAGTTTCTTCTCTTTCAGGGGCTGAAACCATAGCATGCAAAACATAGCAAAGAAACCAAAAAAGCAGAATAAATGTTTCGTCTTCATTTTCTCACTCTCTTAAATGCTTGCAATCTTGTGTGCCTGGTACTTTCAGCAAATCTTGTGTGCCTGGTACTTTCAGCAAGCCTGAAAAGAAAGCAATAGTCATAATTAGAATTCCTCTTCATTACTTTTAAGTTTTCAACTTCTAGCAAATAGAATTCATAAAATGAATCTCATTTGTTCTGACAGATCATCTCAATGAGCTCAAAATTTCTCCAGTTGAAGGTCAACAAAACTGAAGCTCTTATGCTTGGAATTCTCATCTCAGGCCGATAGCATCAACTGTCATGAATGTGCATCATGCGGAGCAGGTGTGGAAACAGTGTTGTTTGATCCCCCCACCCACCAATTGTCATTCAAACCTCAAGGTTTTTTAAATAAATATTATTGTGCAAGAATTTCTGCTTCTTAAATGAGAAGTGGAAACTTGGCAATAAACACAAGCTTCTGTGTACCTGCAGCATTGCTCTCCTGCAGTTGGGGAAGATAACATCACAACTACTATTTGAGTCAGCAACGGGTAAAACATTTTTAGAGATTAGTGGGGGAGGGTCTATAAACCCCATCTCCCTGAGCTTTTCTATCTTGCACTAGGCAAGACACATTGGTTATGAAAGGCAGCAGGAATGCTTCGCTCGCTGACACAAGTCAAGAGCGCATGAAAGGTTTCAGTATTAAAGCCACAAACCGAAACTTATCATAACCTATACTTGACATAGACTTTATTAAGTCTCAAAGCGCTTTGCAAATTTTTATTTTGAGTTGCAGTGACTATACTTATAGGTGAACCCGGCAGCCATTTTGTACACAGCAATGACCCACAAACAGTTATGAAGTGAATGACAAATTTTATCTGGGAGATTGTTAGCCAGGACACCAGATAAATTGCCCTTCTCTTTTTGAATAGTGCCATGGGATCTTTCAAGCCCACCTGAACAGGTAGACAGAACCTCTGTTTGATAACCTAACCAGGGGCTTGAACCTACAACCTTCTGAATCAGAGGTGAGAGTGCTACCAACTGAGCCAGACCGATACATAAAGAGTGATCTTGAAAAAAATCTTTAAAATAGTTGCTGTTGAATAGCTGTTAAAAAAATCTTTAAAATCAGCCCAATAGTTGTTTGCTTTTGACAAAATAAGAGCATGCGGAGCTCCTCAAACTGCTTGGAAATGATCCAACCAAAAGAGTTACATGATTTAGATACAAGTTAATTAATCCCATATGCTCTTTAACTATCCCTCTGAAAATGTAATGTGCTACTGCAAGGAAATTAAGCGTAAAGTGAGGCAAGCATGTCGTAAATGGTCTTTACATCATGCTATTTGTCAAATAGCTGATGAAGAAATGTGCTGCTGTCTACAGTTTCTATAATAATAATCCTTGCACTTGATATAGTGCCTTATCATCTCTTCGAGTCATCTGAAAGCACGTCACAGAATATACTGTAAAGTGAATTGACTAAGCATTTTTGGGCAAAACGTGACAGCCAATTGCGCACAGCGGTGTCCCACAAATAGTCATGCATTGAGTGACCAAATTACTATTTATGTGTTTTGCTTTTTTGACAGGATTATTACCTCCGGAAAAGTGATCCGTCAATTATCTAACAACCGGGATCCTACTTACTGCTAGGTAAACAGAGGCGAGTGGAGGAAGGAAGCTTGCCCAACATCTCATCCTGCCGGGATTCAAACACAGCTCTCTCGCTTGCGAGGTGAGAGCTCTAACCACAGGACTCCAGATTTGAGCCACATCCATTCAGTAACACAGGCTTTGGACATGGCTGTCATTCCAGCGGTGAGAGGTAGCCCGGGATACGTGGGAGTGAGGGTGTTGAGAATAGCAGTAAGGGATCAGGAGATCAACGGAGGTTGAGGTGGGCAAAGAATTAGAGCGCCGGGAGAACAGAAAAGCTACAAAACTCAGCTTAACTATCACCTCACCCACATGTGTACTTATCGCAGCAAAAGGTGAAGTCCGGCTGCAATGTCGGTGAAATTTTTTGTTCAGCATTACCAAATACATGATTTTCCCAAGCAGTGCAAAGGGTTAGAGAGAAAGACACAAGCACATAGCAGCAGTTTTAGAAAGGCAGAGAGAAACAGAAAAAGTTGTGCGCGCACACACTGATATCTGTAGCGTTTTCATATTGGGGCTGACCCTAACTACTACAGGTTTTGTATATTTTACTGTAGTGACTAAAATTCATGGCTCTCATTATCACTCTTCTTTAATCCAATCTGTACTCATTATTTCTACCCCATTAACTTTCATCTGCATTCCCTTAATTGGTTTGTTTTACGTTCCCTAACTTCGAACAACCTCATTTAGTGCCTCAAAGTAATCACAGTGGAGCTGTCCCATTTAACCCCTGCAAATTCCTGCATGCTGATTTTTACTGACACATGCATTGTAGCCTGATTGCAGCAAATAAAAGTCAATTTGTGCCAGACTGCAGACAATGGTAACATGGCCACGCATTCAGAGCAACTAGTAACAATGAAAAATGTCCTACGAAAACCACAGTTCATCTTGTACTGGTATTTGAAAAGTTGCTGGACAAATCTTGAACCGTAAATCCATCGTTCCTTCAGGCTTTACCAATTCATAACAAGCAACAACAACCGGCATTTATACAGCAGCCTTAACACAGGATAGTGTCTCAGAATGCTGCACAGTAGTGGGGTGGGACACCAAGTATTTAAGCCTAAATCAGATTTGCTCTAGTCCTACCATCAGCGCAACATAAGCCAGTTTCAATTTTAATTAAACTCCATTTTGTCAATCTGCCCTCAGTCGGTCTATGGTTTTCATTCTGCTTTGTGGATGCATTTCCTTTCCTTTAATGTCTCCATGTGCTGTTTCTGCGTGTTCCACTTCAGACTTCTGCTTTTCTATTTCTAATTTATGGCTTGTGATTGGGTTTTTCCGGCTTGAGTGGCAACATTTCCTATTTTGAATTGGCAAATGCGAATGTGAATTTCCTATTGTGAATGTGCCAGACTACACAAAAAAATTGACTGTATGTTTTGTGGGCAAAACGTCCACAAGAAATATTCAATTAAGAACATTTATTTTGTTGGCCACCACAATATTTGATATGATCTCATCTCTATGTTGGCTGCTCAAGTCCAGAGATGATCCCACAACATTGCTTTCATTAACATTTTTGGTTCCAACCTGCAAAAAGGCACGCACAAAAATCGCCAAATGCAGAACTAAGATATAACAACAACAACAACAACAACAAGATTCCATTTATAAAGCGCCTTTCACGTCAGGAGGACGTCCCAAGGCGCTGCACAGTTGGGTCATGACCCGAGCAGGGGGGAAATGGTCAGGGTGAGGGGAGGGAAGGGAGGGAGCGAGGAGGGGGAAGAGAGTCGAGAGGGGGTAAATCTTTAGATGCTGTCAGCAGTACAAGGATTAAGCTTCAAATTCAATATTCCTTGAATTTTAAGGACTTCAAAGTCGAAATATGTTTTGCAAAAGGTAAGAAACATTTAGGTGGTACAGATAGGGAACAGAAATCCGTGTATTTGAAATGTTGGTGTGTTAGCTGGCTTAAGTCATCGCTCATACTGCAGTGGTGCAGCACAATTGTTTAAAGTTGAGGAAACCAAATTGCAAGAGCAGAATGGAATGATCTTTACAATGTATCTGATCCCAATGAACCAGCCATACCCGAATCCTCAAAATACCCCCAAAATAAAAACCTAGCATTTTAGATAGTGTGGATTATTATAATATAATTTGAATCATTTAGATAGTGAATACATTGTGTATTCTGAATAGAATAGTTACTCCAAATAAACTGAAATCTGTATTTGCTGGAAAAGGAATTAAAATTTCATCAGGAAAATAACACCCAAATGAATTTCACATGTATCCATCTCTGTTCTCGGCGCCAGGTTGCACAGGCGCATCAGATATGCCAACAGAGAAACAGGGAAAAAATGAAAAAAGGCTAAAATTACAGTAGTTTATAACACTTTAAATAAAATAATAATAATAATAATCCTTGCATTTGATATAGCGCTTTTCACGTCTTCTAGACATCTCAAAGCGCTTCACAGAATATACTGTAAAGTGAATTGACTGTAATACAACTACATACAATTTCCCATTAAAACTGCCCTCTACCCTCTCCGCCCTCAGGCAAACAGTGAAGCTCAGCGCATTGCTTAGGATAGGTTGACATCTCAGTACAATTAAGACTTAACCCTGAGCTGCAGGAATAACATTTAAATAAGTACTGCTGGGAATTTATCAGGAGTACAAATGTACTCCACCTCCACATTCAGTTTTCAAGATGGTGGCCTTTATTTTTATTTACTTTATTTTATTTATATATTGCCCTCAATAGCAGGTAATGCAATATTGGCTGGTTAAACTCCAGAACTGCACAAACACACACTGTCAGGTCACACCTACACATAAACATCCTCATATGTACGAGGAACTCTTAGTCTGGATGGGATACTCTTAAACAACAACAACAACAAGATCACATTTGTATAGCGCCTTTCACGTCGGGAGGAGGTCCCAAGGTGCTGAAAATATACCCACAAATTTTGCCCACAAATATACGGTCAATTCACTTGAGTGTATATTCTGTGAAGCGCTTTAGATGTCGAGAAGATGTGAAAAAGCGCTATATCAAATAATAATAATAATAATAATCCTTGCATTTGATATAGCGCTTTTCACGTCGGGAGGACGTCCCAAAGTGCTTCACAGAACACACTGTAAAGTGAATTGACTGTATATTTGTGGGCGAACGCGGCAGCCAATTGCGCACAGCAATGTCCCACAAACAGTCGTAGATTGAAAATGACCAATTTAATTAGTGTTTTTGATTTTTGGAGGGATTATTATTAGGCTCTGTGTGGAGTAAGGAAACTTGCCCAAGGTTTCGCCCTCTGCCTGGAATTGAACTCAGGTCTCTCACTTGCAAAGCGAGTGCTCTAACCACTGAGCTACAGGACTCCAAATGCAAGGATTATTATTATTATTAGAAATAATTTAATAATAATAATTCTGGCAGTTGATTTGGCGATTTATCACGTCATTGAGATAAGGAAGAAGTAACATTATGTAAAAATAGCAATGTTGCTTCATTTCTGCAAGTGTCAGAGCCTGGACTTGTCAAAGAAATTGCACAATCCATTTGTCTATTGTATCTGTAAGATAACATGAATGTCAACAAATGCCAGTGCGAAGGTGAGCCATATACATGATTTCTGAGGAAACAGTCATAAACAAATTACTTGTAACTTGTAACCAGCACTGGACTCCTCACGTATCTGCACCGGCAGAGATACCACCTTGCTAACTGAGATGTACAATTGAAAAGCCCCATCTGCTTGTCCGAACAGCATATTAAAAGACAATGGAAGTAAATTTGTTTCCTCCTGAAGCCTGGCCAAGTAACATCCAGATGATTCGAAAAATCTCGCCTATCTACTCATCCCATGACACTATTCAAAAAGAGAGATAGGATTACTCACTCCATTGCTGTTTGTGGGACATCGCTGTGTGCAGCTGGCTTCCGCGTTTCACCCACAACATATACAGTCAATCCACTTTCAGTATATAATGTGAAGTGTTTTGAGACGCCTTAACAACTTATATATATTTTGGTCAGCTGGGTTCCATGCATCCCACCTAAACATGTAAATTCCAGAGATGTTTATTGGAATGGAATGTGCACTCTCTCCTGGAGGGGCACACCTTGTTCATCGAATTCTAGATAAAAACACAAGAACGTAAGAAATAGGAGCAGGAGTAGGCCATTCGGCCCCTCGTGCCTGCCCCACCATTTAATAAGATTATGGCTGATCTTCTAACCTAATTCCATTTACCCGCCCTATCCCCATATACCTTGATCCCTTTAGTTTTTAAAAATCTATCGATCTCAGTCTTGAATATGTTCAATGACTGAGCATCCACAGCCAAAGCCTGAACTAGAAGGGTGGTCCTAGCTGGACAAGCAGTTTGAAAGCTTGACAGGTAATGCTCTCAATGGCAAGCTATGCGGATTATCTAGTTAGACTCCAGCAGTACCCCAACGCATACTCTGGTGTCCCCAAGGTAGAGAATTCGATAAATTCACTACCCTCTGAGTGAAGAAATGTTTTCTCAACTCAGTTCTAAAAGGCTGACCTTTAATCCTGTAATCCTACAAAGTATTAGGCGTAGGTTGGCAAGAGCCAAGGCTTAGACAAAGTAGGATGGTTTAAGTTTTTACGATTTTTAACGGTACACAAAAACTCACAATCCTTCTTAAACACCGTGTACAGCAGCGCTATGGAACATTCCATATGGAACATTCAGCGCCTTGGGACGTCCTCCCGATGTGAAAGGCGCTTTACAAATGTAAATTTGTTGCAAGTCCGAACCTTAGAGTTTTGCTTGACCCGCAATTATCCTTTCTGCCCCACGTCCGTGCCATGACCCGCTCTGCCTTTCCCCACAGGCCACCAAAACCCTCATTCACGCATTCACAACATCGAGGCTTGACTATGCAAATTTCTTGCTTGTCGGCATCCCTAACTCTTCCCTGTAGATCATCCAGAACTCTGCAGCCCGTATCCTCTCCCGCACCAGATTCCAAGACCCTATCACTCCCATCCTTGCCTTACTCCACTAGTTTCTCATCACTCAGAGCATACAGTTCAAGATCCTGGTCCTCACCTTCAAAGCCCTCCATGGTTTTGCTCCCCCTACCTCTGCGACCTCCTAGCTCCCTACCATCCTGCCTGCTCCCTCCGCTCAGCGGGCACCGGCCTGTTTAAAGTCCCCCACCTCGCCCGCCCCACCAAGGGCCGGCGGGCCTTCTGCCACTCTGCCCCTACCCTCTGGAACTTCATCCCGTGGTCCCTCTGCCTCACCCCCTCCTTTGCCTCCTTCAATACCTATCTCAAGACCTTCCTCTTCGACCGAGCTTTCAATCACCCTGCTTCCCCCACTGCCCTCCACTCTCCCCAATCCCGACCCCCAGCTCGGGTCCGAAATACTGACTGTCCAGCGCCTTGGGACGGAAAGGTGCCCTTCAAATATAATATTGTTATTGTTGTTCCTTATAAAGCTTGTTTTACAAGATACAGTACACCACTTTAGCTGCAGCATACAATGCACTCTTTCGGATATGTACCAGTATAACATACTTACAGTGCTGTGCACTGTTCTAAGCCATGTGTATTTCAGAAGACTGGATCTCTCTGTATCCATCGTTCCTTTCAGATAGAATTGATTCCTTTCATCTCGCTCTCCTGACAGCCTAAACCTACAAGCTTTTCTGTAAGTGGTATTTCCCAAAGTAGCTATGTGCTACAAGAGCAAACCCACATCGACTTAAAGCAGAAAATAAAATGGTGCACAGACAGCTCTGTTCTGTAATGAATTCCCAAGATTGTCAGCTAACTAGGGAGTGGGGGATTAGGGGGGAAGGGAGAGCGAGAGAGAGAGAGAGAGAAAGAGAGAGAAATGAAGATAAACTGATGTCAGAGCTACAGCCTGATCAGAATCAATTGGCTCCAGTAAATCCCCTTTTCAGCACGGTATGGTGCACTAAAGATCTATTGTTAATACTAAGTAACACAGGATGAAAGTTTCTGAAACACAAGGCATCAGTGAGCCCAAGCACAAAAAGTTGCAGCTAATAAGAGACTGAATGTGAATGGAGACAAAGCACAAGTCAGCGTTTATGGCACGCTGTTGAATTGCAAATGTGAAACTCCAAGGACGACCTTGAGGATGTTTGCTGTGTTGCGTGGGGAGATGGGATAAAAAGATGCAAATAGAACTAGCACAAGCACACTTAGTGTGATAAAAGGATAGGCCCAAAAGAATACTTTATATTTCAGAGGTTCACCTTATCACAGCAGCCCGTCTCCAAGGATAGGAAAATAGTAATGTAAGATTGTCATAAACAAAATACTTCAAAACCTAGACCAGTGGTTAAATAAGATCACAGGAAGCAAACAAGTTGCTGTATTTCAGAAGATATTCAAGTGAAAGCGAGTAATGAAGATTGACACTCATATAAAAGACAGTTGAAATGAGCTGAACAAAGTATTACAAAAAGAAGGTAAAGGAGAGAAATCATAGGTGGCAATAACAAAGTAATTTTCAGCAATATTAACTCTAGAAGAGTTAAGACACAGAAAGAACCAGTAACAGGCAGACCGAGTAAAAGATCTGCTATGATCTCATTGATAATTACACAACTGATCTATTGGTCAATTTTTGCTTCTTAACTTGGTGATAAAAAACCTGACAGTTAAAAAGAAATTTAAGTTTGCAAAGCACGCAGACCACACTAGGTTGAACCCAAGTTCACCACAGCTTAGATGTTACTTTTATATAGAGATTGATTCCACTGCAAGTTGCTGTCCTATAAGGTACCTTGTTCCTTAAAGACATGTTACCACACTTTGCACAAACCCGTTCAGGGTTCAACTGAGCAGAATAAATTCAAATATGTTCAACCGATTGTAAAAATGTATTTGCAGTGTGCTGAGCACATTTGTTACCTGAATAACAATTCTAATGGCTGGGAAGAATGCAATATGCACATCCTTTTTCATGGTTGTATAATACCATAATATAATGCGTGTCTGAAAACAAAAAGGAAACTTGTCAATTCCTGAATTTGATAGAAAATTTACATTACTTCTGAAATCCTAGGAGAGTGGTTTGTGAGTTATGCAATATAATTTACTTTTATATAGTGCATAATAATTTATAATATAATAATAAACAATGAATTAATAATTTTAAGCGGTAGCTAAGGGTTGGTAAAACTTAGCAAAGGGAATAATGGGCAGAAAGCCAGAATAATACAACTGTCTAAACAGAATTGTTATTCATTGCCTAGTGACACCATAGCAATTGTGCAAACTAATCACAAACAAAATATATTTTAAAAAATCTATTGGTTAAATAATAGCAGAAGGAACTTGAACTAAATTTAAATATTCAGAAGGATTTTTTAAAAAAATTACAATCTTCCATCTTAACTTCAGCAGAAAGTTCTGATTACCCAAAACCTAACATGAAAACATGTTAACAATTGGTATACTTCTCAACAATCACCCTGATAAAATTCGACTTCACTTCATGGCTGTTTGAGGGACATTGCTGCATGCAAATTACTGCTGCTTTTTCTTACAAAAGACACAGTGGCTACACTTTACAGTAAATCCTGTAAAGTATTTTGAGACGCTTAATTTACATGATCAAGCACTATTTCAAACTCAAGGATTATTATTAGTAGTGGTAGTATTTCCTTCCACCAGGTTGTTGTTGGGTTCTCTTATAATAAGTTACTTCACGATACACTAGAAATGGTAACTGCAAATATCTCAAGATCACTATAGCATAGGATTAATAGCCTTCCTCAATAAGAAATTCCAACAAGAAATTCTAATTATTAGTTCTCGCCAGGTACTCAGCAGAGCACAAGCATAGCAGCAGCACTTTGTATCTTTGGGAATAAAAGACTCTCCAACCTTTCCAGGATAAGTTGTGAGCCACGACAAGAGAAGAAATGACTGTTTACAAACTGTTGACAAAATTATGAACAGAACAGCCCAAACTGCTAATTGAATACTCAAAAAGCAGCTAAGAGTGAAAAGAAAAAGCAACCTCATGGAAGGCAAATGGGGGGACCGGGATGGTGAAAGAAAGCAAATCTGAGTGATAAAGATAATCCTCCATATCCTTATCAATGTGCCAGGCTGGCTGGTCTGTTCTCAGCATGGTTAGCAAACCAAAGAGAAGAAGCATGTGTCCCGTGTAATTCCCACCGACAATCTGCTTACAGAAACGCGCCCACTTATATTTAAACATATCTTACTTTTAAGGTAAAAAAAATTCTTGAGTCAAGACTTTTTGAATATTTCGTTGAAATAGGCACCTAAAATAATACTCCTCTCTGAGTAAAAACAATCTTGGTGAAACTCTTCTCAGTGTTCAGATCAACATATTCTGTGATCTGTTTCATCAAAGGAAAGTATAGATCTCTCTTGACAAATGAATGTTTGGGCCTGTGCAGTTGTCTAATTGTTTTTGCAGAATTTTCAGAAATTGGTTGAGAAAAACAAATGTCAAATCTCCTGCTAATATGTTGTCTTGGTTTCACACTACTATTATTTGTTTATGTTTGAGTTTTGCTGCTTTCCAAGTGTTATTCCTGGTGATGCCTTTGTTGAAAGCCAACATATAAATGAATCTTTTGGAAGAGATTCTGTGACGGGCTTCAGTTTTTGACTGATGTGGCTCACGCTATTGCTCATGAGCCGCACTCGGACAACTGAGACGGCCACAGAGGATTGATTTGATTCGGACATTTCGTTGCCAAGCAGGTCATTTTGGAGGTCAGTTCAGCTTCAAGGAGAGCACGCATACCACTGCCCCAAGAAGGAAACTATACGAACGTATAACACAGTACCTAATTAGAGATCGGTCGTGTGTTTTACCAGGGGGTGGGGGAAGGGAGGTCACCTAGAAAATGCCATTGCTGGAACACAGACCAGCAAGTTGTCCATTCCTCCACGGAAATTTACAGCACAGAAGAAGGCAATTTGCCCCTTCCATTTCCGACTGACTCTGTACTGTATTGGTAATTGGCTATGCAAATAATTTGTTCATTTACATTTGTGATACATTTATTAAATCATGAGCTGTTGCTTCTCTTTTTACCAATTACAGACTTTGTGAACAAACAAAGCACTATGCAGCATTCTGTCAGCAGTATCAGTGATTAGTACTTACACTGACAGAAAGAAGTGTAGTTTAGTTTTGAAATGCATTCTTTCTTTGGGGTACTTACTTGAGAACTGCCTATGTTTCTGAAGGCTGCTGAAATACTGGACGCACACTGACATTCTCCAAGTGACAATGGAAATGCTGAAGTCCACAGACTGTAGATTTAAAAACTGTTCTTCCTTTGACTCACGGTTAAGTAATCTGAATGCCTGCCACAAGTTTTGTTCAACATTTCGGAACTGAATCACATGGTTGAAACGAAAGTTTCTAGGTCGTTTCTAACAAGCAAACTACAAGTGGGTGGGACCGGAAAAAAAATTGACTGTCAGGAAACGTGAACTGAAAAGCTGTGTTAAAAAATAGAAAAGTAGATTGTATCTAAATGTAAACAAAAACCCTTGGCCATTTCATCCCCTCTGCTCACTCTGCATTGATAAGAATTAATACTTGAATGGCAAAGTCACACATACAAAGAACTAACTTGCAAATACACATAATATTTTTGAAAATACATAAAATATACGACTGCTTATGACAGTCGTATATTTTATGTATTCATAACAATCCAAAACAAAAAAACAATAATAAATTGGTCATTTTCAATCTACGACTGTTTGTGGGACGCTGCTGTGCGCAATTGGCTGCCGCGTTCGCCCACAAATATACAGTCAATTCACTTTACAGTATATTTTGTGAAGCGCTTTGGGACGTCTAGAAGACGTGAAAAGTGCTATATCAAATGCAAGGATTATTATTATTTATTATTATGACACTGCTGTACCCAATTGGCAGCTGCGTTTCTCCCACAAAATACAGAGGTCTTCCGCCATTGTTCTCCTCTGCTCTGCTACAAGGGCCTGGGCAACCGCCTTATGTTGTGGTGACCGGAACGCTATACGCTATTCAAGGCACGATCTGACCAGACTATGATGTCTTTAGATGTAAACTCAACTGATTTAACAGTATAGCCCAATATTCTGTTCGCTTGGTTTATGCTTCACAGGTGAGCAACGATTTGGAATGCCATTAGCCAGGTGCATTGCAACTGATCTCCAGAGCACTCGCCTCGCAGGCAAGAGACCTGGGTTTGATTCCCGGGCAGGGCGAAATGTTGGGCAAGTTTCCTTACTCCCCATGCTTCTGTTTACCTCGCAGTAAGTAGGAACCCAGTTGCTAGTCGATTGGCGGATCGCTTTTCCGTGGGTAATAATTCCTTCAAAAAAAATAATAATAAATTGGTCTTTCAATCTACACCTATTTGTGGGACGCTGCTGCGCGCAATTGGCTGCCATGTTTTGCCCACAAAATATACAGTCAATTCACTTTACAGTATATTCTGTAAAGAGCTTTGAGACGTCTCGAAGACGTGATGAGGTGCTACATCAAATGCAAGGATTATTATTATTTATCATAATTTAGTTCTAATTCGGTATCCAGGCATACACTTTGCAGCATATAATCACATGGAATCATACAACATTGAAGCAGATCATTTGGCTCATCTAATCCATGCCGAGGTTTATATTCCACAGGCACCTCCACCTCTCCTAAACCCTTCTATTCCATTCACTCTCATATACGAATCAAGTCTCCTCTCAAATATGTTGATCCTTTTTGTGTCAACCACAGCTTATGACAGTGAGTTCCATGTCCCCTTTCTAGCCTAGGCCATTGAGCCTAGGATGGATTTGTGTTTGCTGTGACTGGCTTTACCAGCTGGCCCATTGGAAAAAGTACAAAGTTAATTTTTAATAAATGTCGATTCTTAGGCTCTGTTTCTGACACTCAAATGGAATCAATGAAGTCCTGGCCGTTTTAACTTTGTTCAGCTAAACATCAGCAAGACTGGCTCAAGCATGGCTCCCGTCACCATCTTTGCATGTCAGACGTTTACCTGAACAACCTACGCAGATGCTCACTCCATCTCATGAAGCCAGTTTGCCTCACCCTCCCTCCGATTTACAGCATGCCTTAAGACAATAACAACAACAACAACAAATTGCATTTGTATAGCAGCTTCCAAGTCAGGAGGACGTCCCAAGGCACTGGATAATCAAAATACCTTCCCTTTTTCCTGCGCTTTTGGTCTCTTTCCCTCCCCTCCTCTCACCCCAACCCCCACACCCTCTTCACCTACCTCCACCCTCAGTTCAGGCTTCCAGTTAGCTATGTGAAGCGCTTTGAGATGTGCTCCCAACGTGACGGGGCTAAATAAATGCAAATGGTTGTGTTGATACATGCAACCATCAATCATAGATATTTCCTAGGTACCCAAGTGCCAGCCAGGATTGACAGTACCCAATAGGGGCAGTAGGAACAATTAAGACCTCTCAAGCACTGCCAAGTCTGTTTAACCATGGCAATGCTGCTTAACCACTGCAATTCTGCCAGGAGCCGTTTTTCACAGAGATCTGGCATTCAGAGATCCAGACTGTGCTTTACACTCTGATTAAGCAAAATTTCTATCTATTTGCAGTAATAAAGCTTCAAAGATTAAAATAAAGCTTTTTTGAGCTTTTCAATTTAACACTACACTAAAATCTCTTGGACTGCAACAACTGCTAAGTTGAAGGGTTTAAGGAATCATTAGTTATGCTCTATCGCTTTTCACAGGCAACAACCACCGCCAGCAATCAAGAGAGAACCACATAAATTTGACTACAAAAGAAAGCAAGATACAAAACAACAAAAATTAGAGTAAAACAATACACTTTGCAAATCTTTCATCAGTGAGCACATTGAACTGAAATCCAAGATGAAAGTCAACTTGTGGAGCCAATGGCAGTATAACTGTGTATTGTGCTCTTATTCACTAAAATCATTCTACTCAGAATTTCCAAGATCAATCCATCTATTGTTCATCCACACAAGATGAAAGAGTGATACAACTGTGCTGTGAAACTTATCCTCAATAGATCCTCTTTCCTCTTTTATGTGAATAGCTTTCAACACTTGGTTTGTTCACAAATCTGTTAAAATGATTCTCTGTGTTGACTACTAAAGGCAAATGAAGATTTGTCTGGCAGGAGGAGGATTTGAATATGAGCCTTCCAATTGAACTACATTTAAACGCCCAGCTAGCTGGATTAATGGTGGGGGAGGGGTGGGAATAAGGAATTTAGGTCCCATGAACTAGAATTTCCGGCTAAATGTAACCACGTTGCTGGTACCAGCATTTACTGCCATTTGTCAGTGCCCCCAAAACGACATTGTAATTGTTTGAAACCAGTGAGCAGAAGATATCGAACAAGCTATATTCTGCTCGCAGGATTCAAACAATCTGAGTCAAAGTCCATATTCCTGGCCACTGGAAAGGCCAACAAGGAAGGTGAGGAGTTGGGAGCCAGGAGTCTAAACGCGAGCCTGTGGAATTTTCTTTAAAACATTTTTGGTGTCAGGCCTGTTCTAACTGGGTCGGAATTCCAAATATCTGGATTCCAGGAGTCCTGGTTTACTGTAGTACAACAAGGCACGAAGGGGAGAAGTAGCCTTTAACTGTCAACCTCCCTATGTCAATCCTCCTGATGTGAAAGGTGCTCTACCAAATGTAATTTTTTTTTAATCGGGTTCAAAATAACAGCACAGAAAGGTTGTTTATATTTTTCTTTCAATTTATAGTGGCATACAAATGAGTTAAATTCCCTCCTTCCCTTCGACACACACAGTTTGATTTCTTTTGATTTCTCACTTGTGAAAGTTAACAAAACATTAGGCAAGCAGAAACCTTTCGTCTTGAAAATGTTTTGAAAACCAGTGCAGCAGTCAAGTATAAAAATTCATCTGATGGTATATCATCAGATACTTGCAGCTGCATAGTTTCTTCTCATAACAGGTTGTGAGGGATCTCATGTGGTAACAGCTTCGATAACACATTCTCTCTAAAATGTGCAGCAAAACTATGTTTTTTAGTGTGATACGCAGCTGTCTTTCATCTTTTTTAAAGTTAGATATCTGTCAATCAACAGTATACCCTTATCTCACTAACCACTGCAGCCTGCACGTAAACAATAAAGCAGCTTCAGCTTCTAAATGTGACATATAATCACAAATGTGATTAGGGCCGGGCACAACCACCACGACTGTAATTTACTGATACTTTATGTCACTCTTCAATTGCTCAGACATGGTAAGCCTCACAATCTTGCTGAAATCTCAACATTTTCCTCTCTGTATATACACCACTTCCAATATGGAATTGAAACATTGCATTACAACACAAATTCTATAATTAAAAAAATTTTCAGCAAACATCATAATTTGAAGGAAGGTGCAGCAGTGGTCTGAAAGCATTTACAGTGCACTTGTTATTCTTTAATACAAATGAAACACTCTCACCCTCTCTCTCTCTCTTTCTCTCTATCTCTCTATCTATATGTATACACACACACACATACTTCTCCGCCACATAGCAGCAAGGTGAGAATGTACCATCCGGTTCTTGTTAGAATACATTTGTCTGTTCTTGTATCATTTGTTCTCTTCCATGTATAAGTGTTCCACCCTATTGAGAGAGCACCCATATCCATGATTGGGAGGCAGGAAATAAGAGTGTAGTATTTTCTATACTGGGTAGAGGATCATGTGCTGAATTGCTGGATAGAATTGAAAGCCAACAGCTGTGAAGCTAGAAAACTTAAAAAATAAAATCCAGTCATAACAATTAAGAAAACACAAGGAACCATGTAATACAAATTCTCAAATGCTGGCGTTTTCTTACAGCTCTTACTTAAATAGTGCAATGCGGGTTGTTCAGACCAATAACTTCATCCACAAACTTTAACAGCCCATCTTGCAAAGTTATCCTTGGTAGAATGCCTCCTTCCTGAAGCTCCGACGAAATACAATGGTTCAAGGGGAAATGAAGCAGACGTATTTCACAGACATCTGTCAACAAGATCTCAGCGATCACAGTGATAGACAGCAGCAACTTGCAGTAATCACATTAACTGGCTTTTTCACACAAGGTTCATGAACTGCCCTTAAATAGAACCCCTGAGGTACCACAGCTTTAGTGTTCTCCGACCTTTGACTTCTGATCTCAAAGCACTTCCTATCAATTAACCACACATGTTTATCTCCATCAGCACAAACCCATTGTAGACTAAAATAAGGCGTTTAAGTGAATTGTACTCATTAAAATACTTCAACCTCTGTACTGCAGTACTCCGCTGATGTTGGGTCTCAGGCTTCAAAGAGCGCATGGACTTCATCAGTGTTGCCGTGTTTCCAGGGTAGTTTTACTTCACTGGCTTCACTGCGT